ATTAGTTGCTGACCCCACATCTTTGAGTGGATTTAAGTATATAGATAATAGACCATATATACCAGAAAACTATGTATTTAAAAGAATGGAAGATAATCTATTGATTGGGGCTAATGGTGATGTATTTAGAGTTACAGGAAAGGATGATGTTATAAAAAATGAATGAAATTGCATACGAACTTCATAAACCTGCAAGAAAGAATTTCATAAGAAGGTCTTTCAAAGTATTAGGTATAAATGAAACCGTACAAATAGATTTAATTGATATGCAAAACTATGCTAGAGAAAATTCTGGCAATAAATATATTTTAACTTTAATAGATACATTTTCTAAAAAAGCTTATGCTGCTCCACTAAAGAATAAGACAGGGTTAGTGGTTACAGAAGCCATTAAAACCATTCTACCAAAGGGGGTTAAAAACATTCAATCTGACAATGGAAAAGAATTTTTTAATCAATATTTTAGCAAACTAATGAAAAAATTAAATATTAATCACTATCACACATTTTCTACAACTAAGGCTGCAATTGTGGAGAGGTTTCAGAGAACTTTAAAGAATTGGTTATATAGGGAATTTAGTGCTCAGGGGAGTTATAAATGGTTGGATTTACTTCCAAAGTTAATTCGAAAATATAATAATAAGGTGCATAGATCTATAGGAATGAAGCCTAACCAAGTGAATGTTAAGAATAGTAAATATGTGCATGAGAGGTTGACTTCTAAAGTAGAGCAAGTTAAAAAGCCAAGATATAAGGTAGGTGATAGCGTAAGGATTTCCAAGTATAAACATGTTTTTAGTAAAGGTTATACTCCAAATTGGACAGGGGAACTATTTACAATAGCAGAAGTTAAGAATACAAAGCCTGTGACTTATATCTTGAAAGATGAAAATGGCAATATAATCAGGGGAGGCTTCTATACAGAGGAGTTGTTAAAGACAAAGTATAAGGACATGTATTTGGTAGAGAAGATAATTAGGAGAAAGGGTGATTCGTTGTATGTCAAATGGCTTGGGTTCCCAAGTAGCCAGAACTCATGGATTTCCACTAAGGATGTCCAAGGGAGCACGTCATAAGCCAGGAGCATGCCCGAGTTCACGCACAAACCTCACATGATTTTGAAAATATACATGGGAATGGATGTGGATTTGAAATTTTAATAGAGTTTGAACATTTATATAGGCTTGTATTGGACGAGATCCAGGTCTTTTAAAAAAGTGGCCAAAAAATGAGCCATATTCCAGACGTGATTTTTAGTATTAACAAAAATAGAAAATTTATATAGGGGTGTATAGGTCGAGAGCTGGGTCTTTAAAAAAGTGGCCAAAAAAATGAGCCACTCATTTTTCTCATTTTTCCCCTATAAAAAGTGCCCTAAAAGTGCCTCTAAAACGCCGAAAGTGAGGTATCTTTGTCCTATTATATCTACTAACCTCTCTAAAAAGTTATCAGTAGTGATTGTTAGTAATTAAATCCAGATTGATAGTAATTAAAAAACGGTCGTAGGTAAAGTAGTGTACGCAACTCGCGTTACCGGTAATAGTCTTTACGACACTCATAGAAGTTTTTAAGGCACGAGCCTTGGCGAGTTCGTATTTTTCTACTCGTGTCGTAAAGACTCACTTAACGCAATCGTTGCGTAAACTACTATTTCCACGTGAATTATTATATTATAATGGAAAGCCTTTATCTGTAGATAAAAATGAAGTAGACATTCCACGCCAATGTTAAAGTTATAGCCAGTTTTAGCTTTTAAATAGCTTATATTTAGTTAAGCTATCCAAAAGATTGTGCTATACTGTAAAATAAAGGGGGTTTTACAAATTTTTATCATTACTCCAAACTGTAAGAGCTATTTTTGTACTATAGTAGACCATGGTGGAAAGAAAAAACATAGGTGTGCTATTCCCACATATTCTGACGTCACTCGGATTGCAAACAAAAGATCACATGATTGTAACTGTAAAATTAGTATATGTATTTGTTTTAATTTGGTTGTTATTGTTTTTATTATTATAAAAACAATAACATTCAAATCAAAGTTATAGAATTAACTTTGAATTATAAAATATATAGAATTGTAAATCAAGTTATAGATAATTTACAATTACCTTCACCTATTGACCTAATGTATTATTATCAATTGCATGCTCCCCACGTTTTTCGTTTTAAATCTTACAAGGATTTATACTCTCCACACATTTATAAATTATTTTCTACTTTTTAGTTTTTAATGTGTGTGGATGTTAAATCTATTTCAAGCATCTATATCAGATTAAGACAGAGGCATGTGGAAAATCTAAGGTTTATTTGAGTTTCTTTTCATATAATTATGTATTAGATTGAACGTATGGCCTACCTACTAACACAGAGCATCTCTGTGCCTACTAACTATAGATGTATCAATCTATTTAATTTCGTGTTTACTTTATAGAATCTATACTATTATAAAATACCCCCGCCGCAGCAAACCTGCAGACTAAGCAAATTTCCATTTGACTGATTGGATTTACACTGAAATGTCTACTTAAAAATATAACATTTATTCCCTATTTAAATATAATTATTTTAACAAGTACTTAGGTTTGTACTTAGGTTTGCTGCATCAGGGAGGGTAAAACTGTTTTTTTTTGTAAAATTTTAATAGTTAGTAAGAAATAAAAACATTTTCAAAATTTGATCAAAATATGTTCATAAACAAGCAAACTACAACAGTTTACTTATTCTCCATAAGAATAACATGGGAATTTTAAATTTACTATTTTTTGGAATTTTCTCCGTAACCATTAGGCGCATAATAACGCTTCAATATACTAAATTATTTGGTTTTTTAAGCTCTACAAAATGGTTTGGAAAGAAATTGCTAAATTTTATGTTTTTTGGGTTAAAAATGGGAAAAACCTATTTTTACCCCATAAAACCCCCCGTAAACCCCCGTTCTCATGGTCCGATCATGCTGGATCGCGAACTCGTTCGAATAAACGTAGGTTTACACGTTTGTACCAAATTTCATCAAAATCGGATCATTTTTGCTCGAGTTATCGTGCTGACGGACACATATATATATATATATATATATATATATATATATAAATATATAAATATATATATATAAATATATATATATATATATGTATGAATTTGAACGGATGGTGTTTTTGGCCTCTAGGGACCTCAAAACTAAAAAAAAAATCGGTCCCGCGTCCAGGTCTTACCATGAGTACTACGGTAATAGCTTATTCCCTATATGGGAAATTCGCTAAAAAGAGGTGGTTGCTGTATGTGTGTATGGGAAAAGTAAACTCGAAAAATACTGGTCGGATTGGGCTGAAATTTGGCATGATGATAGGTCACATTCCCGATTAACATATAGGCATATTCTTATTTCAAAAATCCTTTCGGGCTCCGCCCCAGTGGCTCTGGAGTTTCCCATGTTAACCTTATGAGAAATGGAATTATTGAATCTTAACAGCTGTTTCAATTAAACAAGTTGGTTCTGTTCTATGATGTTCAATAGCATTAAAGTTACAAGGATTACCAACAGGGTGCACCACTATTATTTCTTTTACATTTATGACAACAGCTAATTTGCAACCAAAAGGTGAGTGAGCGTAGCGAACGAACTTCAACCTGGAGGCGAGTTAGCGTAGCGAACGAGCTAACCTGAAGGCAAGTGAGCGCAGCGAACGAGCTCCAACCTAAAGGTGAGTGAGCGTAGCGAACGAGCTCCAACCTAAAGGTGAGTGAGCGTAGCGAACAAACTTCAACCAGGACGTGATTGAGCCATGCGAACGAGATAATCTTGAAAATTAAGAAGTTAAACGGGGCAAAGCCCGCGGGTTACAGCTAGTACTAAATAAATAACAATTAACAATATTAACAAACACCTTCATGTCTGCAATCAGATTGTCTTTATTTTGAAAAATTGGAGATGTTCCGTTGGTATATAAAATAAATAAATAAATGGTAAGAGGAGGTAAGAGTAAGAAATGTGATTGTAATGAAAAATTTCAGGAAACTGCTGGGAGTTGAAATAAATTAAGTGGAACGGAGTGGAGCGAGAAGCGAGCACGAGCCGATCCTTTTCTTGAGCCCGGGTTCGGAAGTTCGGAGTCCAGAACAGAGTGAGATTGAGTCCGGTCCTGCCTGAATCGAATCCCGACCGCACGATTTTTATTTCAGCTGCAGTTTTTTAATACGGACAAAATGAGAGTTTAAAAATTAGAAATTAAAATAAAAATTATTGTAGGCCTAAAACTAAAGAAAATATATAATTAATTTATTAATTAAACTATCATAACCTAACCTAACTAACCAAACTTGCTGATAATGACAAAATTGAATGAAGGTGTACTAATAGAAGAAATAGTTCTGTTCGTAAAATAAAACTATAAATGCCTCAAATTAAATTTTATATTTTTTAATTTAAAATGAAACTGTCATAACCTAACCAAACTAACCAAACTTGCTGATAATGAAAAAATTTAATGAAGGTTTACTAATCGAAACAATAGTTCTGTTCATAAAATAAAACTATAAATAGCTCAAATTCAATTTTATAAGGTTTTAATTATAAAATTTAACTGTTATAACCTAACAAAACTAACCAAACTTGCTGATAATGCAAAAATCTTAGACAAAAAGTTTGTGCCTACGATGGGTTTCGAACCTGGTACCAAAAGTTTCGAAGCTCGGCACGCTATCCACTGGACCACCGAGGCCGATGGCTTCAACCCGTTTTATTGCGATAATGGTGTTCCCTCAGCCAATAGAATGCTCTCATTTTGTTCTTATTAAAATAACTGCAGCTGAAATAAAAATTGTGCATCCCGACCCGAAAAGACATTCTCCTATTCTCCCTCCAGTCCAGTCCCACTTCCCAGTTCCCACCAGGTTCCTACACTGTTCCCAGTCGAGTCTCCCTCAATCATTCTTCCACTTCTATTCCATTCTCATTCATTGCTTAGAAAAGAAAAATAGAAAAGGGCCAAAAGGCCAATTAAATCAATTGCCAATTTAGATAGTTGTGACTGCTAGTGAATAGTTAATTAAGAATTATCATCTTAATGGATGTAAACGATTTAGATTTTAGGTTTCATTTTGTTTTTTATACATTTTCAATTGTTGACAATGTCAGGAAAACTAGGAATCAGATCTTCAACTGACGTATGTGCTGACTGTGGAGAAATAGGTTAGTAAAGTTTATTTTAGTAGGTCTATAATCAAGTTATGCCTTTGCTTATGTTTACTTTCAATCTAAAACCCAACATAAAATCATTCTAGGTATCTAAAAAATTAAATCGTACGGTGAATAGGTCTGTATAGCCTACATTTGTGATTCTGAGTCACACAGACCAAGCCCATATTAATCATAGTCTAGGTCTATGCTATTAATATCTTGGAGGACGTATTTTCTTGAAGATAAGAACTTCTAAGTAATTAGGAACTGTGTTGAAAAAATTTGAACCTTTACTTTTTTTCTGTTTGAAAGGTGTTCTCTACATAGGCCTAATGTACATCCGTACATAAATCTTAAAAGCCTATTTGTGTTTGGTTGGGCTGCACTTTACTTGACGTCCTACACTCATTCAATTGTTTTTTTTTTTTTTCGATTCGATATTTTCATTCGATTGTTTCATTCGATATATCGTTTGGTTAGTTAGGTTAGGTTAACCTTACCTAACTAACCAAACGATATATCAAATGAAGCAATCGATATATCGATCGATATTTTCATTCGAATGAGTGTAGGACGTCAAGTAAAGTGCAGCCTTTGGTTGCATCTACAAGTAAGTTAGCAGTAAGTTACAGACTTCTGTACACAAGCATACTTGGGCAAATTGAGTTCATCAGTCTTAGATTAAACAAGGAAATCTAACTTATTTGTTATTGTTTGTGGTCACATGTCATAAGCAGTTGGAGACATAAGAGTAAGTTATTTACTGTACAATTTTCAAGATTAACAATTTGGAGTCAAAATCATTTAAGTTAAAAATGAAACCCATCTTAAGATCTTGCTTAACATTTCAAAATCCTTAAGCTCCGGTCACAAGATAGCTTCAGTTGGAATCTCAAAATGAAGTCCTCGAGGTCCCAAGCATTTCTCGTGTTGTGATCGTAGTAGGTACTTAAAACAAAGTTAGCTTTTTTTTATTAAGTTAAGATTTTAATGTCTGTGTTGTCTAGGACAAGATTTGCTTGTACCGTACTTAGCAATAAATATGGGTTGGGCTGTTTTTCATATCTGCCTACCGTACGGGTAAATAGGCACTTTGAGGTTTCCCTAATCTCCTAGGATTTGAATGACGGCTAGAACTGTGGGTAAATGAGACTTAAGTTAAAAGATTTTTAAAACGCTCGCGACACATAAACTTAAGCTAATTAACTTTTAATTGCCATTTTAGTTGTTAAGTTAGACCTCACCCTAACTTTTCAGCTGTCAGTCAGGCTAGGCTCAAGCCCGTGGTCTGCATGAGAGATAACTAAACTGCGCCCCTCTCCGCCTACCCTGTGGGGGAATCTTTCTCTTTCTTGCACCTCCAACACACTTAAAACTCTTGTGCCGATGGGCCCACCAGACCATTCTATTAACCAGCCCAGGTGTGGCTGCATCGAACACTGAATCACTCTTTTCAGTCGTCACCAACATGATGAGGGATTTAATATCAAAGAAGCATTGTCGAACAAGCTGTGTAACTTACAAACTCTTCTAAACTTACTTGACTGTTTCGAAAACATTAAATAGGCTATGTAATTAATAATTTAGGAATCAAGTTGTATGCCTAAGTGCTTGTGATAAGGCTAACAGTGGTTCAATAATTTTTTTCAGATCCACAATGGGCAGTGGTGAATAGAGGACTGCTAATATGTGACCTGTGCTGCAGCATTCACCGTAGTCTTGGTCGTCACGTTTCCCAGATAAAGCACTTAAAGAAATCAGCATGGAGTCCTTCATTACTGGCTGTAAGTGTGGAAATTGAACATTATGTCGTATCTTGGGCCACAGATGATGATCAACTAGCGTCAAATGTGGTTCTGGTTGTCTCAGCCCTAAGACCTAAGGTTTAAATAATTTGTCCAAAAGCCTTCTAGTTCCTCATTTGCATAGGGTTTTTTAGAATCTAAAGTTGCAACAGAATGAAGTAAATGTGCTTTTTATTGACTACTATACTCTTAGCTTACACTTTAATGAATTGTCTTTTTATGTATCTAAACGGATAATACAATACAATATTTGTTTGTTAAATTATGTTTTAATACTATCAAGTATTAAAAAGAGTTGATCAATTGTGATGGTGGCTAGTAGATTATCGACTATCTAATCTTTGGTTATCTGACCTTACATGTTATCCAACTTTCCCTACAAACAATCAAGTTTTGTGAAATTTACTTTGTATGTTTTAATTTCTTACGCCATGACTGTACTTGGAAGATCGGACTTTGGACACCAGTACTTGACTTTACTTTCTTATTCTTTTAGCGTGCTGCGTACCATGCATTTTATTTAAACTCCTCACCTGCTTGGGCCTACCTTTCTGCTACCGCAGTATCCTGAAAATTAGTCCAATTTGTATATAGGCATACCAAGGCAAATATGTGGTTCGAATTCCACTATAAACTGTAGGGTCCCTTAGTTGCCATTAGCTGTATGGGCTAAGGAATAAGTCGGCCTTAGTCACTAACAAGACTACAAGATCGCGCCACTCATTCTACACTCATCTCCATTCATACTTAGCCTTAAATAGGTACCTTTGTATGGTCGCCATTTTATTGAAAAGTGTTTTTAAAAAATGTATTAAAAAATACATCTGATTTTCCGTATCAGTGCAACTAGTAACTCTAGGCTGAGTGGACGGATAGTGTGTCATTTTATTTTTCAGTTTAGTAGAGTTAGGCTTTTTTCTTTCTCTGTTATTTTTTATGTTAGGCCTTCTTGTGTGATAATGGCTTCAAAACAAAGAAAAGTAATGATTCTATTGAAGGACTAAAGTAAAGCCTTATGTATGTTTGCCAGTGGAGAAACATATATTTCTTCATTTAACTTTGTGAGAGTTAACAGTAATAATCCCTATTTCATGCTTTCAAAAGGCTTAAACACTTCTCCGTATTATCTGACCTTTCTACTTAATTCTGTCCTTACTGCAGTTGATTGGATTGGATATTAAAGACTCTACTCTCTAATTTTAATTAATGTTAACACATATATTCAGAGAATATAAAGGTAACTGATAGTCTTATTATCTGTTCTTTTTACAGATGGTCCAAGCCCTGAACAACAGCAACATCAACACTCTTTGGGAACACACTCTCTGTGATCCAAAATCCCCCAAGAAGAAACCTCACACACGAGATGCCTTACAGTAAGTCTTTTGGTGTTTCTACTAGTTAGTTAAGTTACATTTTTCTGTAAGGAAAGGTATACTATAACACAGTTGAAGATAGTATAATACTGCACGTATGCAAATTTAGCTTGTTACATATTTTGACCCATAATTAAAGCAATTTTTTTTTCAGTCCGACCAAAGCAGACTTCATCCGAGCCAAGCACCAGCTGTCGTCCTATGTGCTGCGCTCTAGTGACACTGAGGAGGAACTCAATCAGCAGCTGCACTCGAGTGTACGAACCGGCAACTTGGAGACTAGCCTGCGGCTGTTGGCACAAGGGGCTGACCCTAACTACTACCATGAGGTAAGAGCTAGTGAAACATTGACTAAAGTGGTCTTCAAGATTGAGATGAATGTGGAGTGTGTCAGATGAATGTCTATCTACTTCATTCGTTTTACCACAAAAAAATTACTTTGAAATTGTGATAATAATTTTTGTGGTATTTTCAAGTGTAAATAGTTTTTCTCAAATGAATAATTAGGCTAAATAAACTTTCCATTTGTGAAGGATTTTTCTGTAAACGGGTGTCCTATTATAAAGGATTTTTAATTGCTGATATTACTTGAGAGGTAGAATCGACAGTTTTAATTAAATTACTACCAGATTTATCTCAAGAGTGTGAAGCTGATAAAAAATTTTGTGGTGCCTGGATACCAACTTTTAGAGTATTAGTACCTTACATAAGTGCTTCATATCGAAAGGACTTGCCTACCAAATAGGAGTTTCCTTGGGAAGAGTGCAGTCTTGCATTATGTGTGAAAGCTATGTTTAATTGCAGGAGAAGGGCACCCGTCCCATCCATGTTGCGGCCCGGGCAGGTCAGATTGGTCAGGTGGAGTTGTTGGTGTCACACGGTGCAGACCCAGGCGCACTGGACATGCAGGGCAACACACCATCTGCCTGCGCCAGGTACTGTGTGTACAGGTTTTTAAAGAATTTGAAAAAATGTAGCAATATTTAATCCTACAAATTATTTTTAATTGTTGTTTTGAATTGCAGTTTAACTTGTATTCAAACAAATGTTTTCAAATTTTTTAGCATAGGCCTAAATCAAATGTATCACATCATTCGAGATGGGGATGCCACATAGGTGCATATTTTAACCCAAACTATGTAACTTTATTTGGCAAATAGATTTATAATGGCTGCTTTTACTAAGATTATGTTACCTAATTTTTAGGGCCCAAAGACTCGGATCGGATCTGATGTAATTTTTAATTCAAGCCCGGGTCTTTTTTGAGCAAAACCGAAATTTTATTTTTGCGATTGCAGAAAGCGTCTGAAAAGGTGTGTTTGATCAAAAATTTACCATTAAGAAATTGCCTTCCGTGGGTGTTTACGTTTTCCCCGCAATGGTGTGAGACGATGATAATGTCGCCATGATTGTGAAAGATGTTCACAATTCAGCTAAATCCGTGACCTTGGTAGATGTTTTTGATCTTGCCATTACTGCAGAAGATGGTTCTCGATTTCGCTATTACCCAGGAAGATGTTCACGATTTTGCCGTGACCACATAAGGTGTTCTGATTTAATGTGACTGGTGCAGTTATTTCATTATTTTGTCGTGACCGGGGAGATGTTTCCGATTTAACCGTGACCACAGAATATTTTCATGATTTCACTGTGATATAGAGAAGATTATGTTCAATATTTTACAACCACAACATTTTTTACTCAACCAAAAATGTCTTGCCTGCAAATTCCTACCTATTTTGCAGTTTCCCCCTCAATTTGTTGTGTTACCCTACTTATGTCATATTTCTTGAATAATATTGACGATGAGTTGTTGAATGGTATTTTGGTGTTTCTGTATTACAGACTGAGTGGCTACAGAGATGTGAGTCAGAGACTGATAGAGCTGTTGTACGAGGTGCCAGACAGACTGACGTACTTCTTGTGTCGCCGCAGACCAGACCACGCCTCAGGACAACATTTCCTAGTTCCTGAGATCGCTGACTGTCTAGAGGCCCCTCAGCTTACCAAGGAAGCAAGAGCCAAACTGCAACAGGTGAAATGTCAATCAGATTATTAGCGAACAGAATAACTATGTGCACAAGAAACCCTCCCCCCACACTGTCTTTAATTTTTTGTACAGTAATTTTAAGAATTAATTGCTTTTGAATTTAATACCATTCTCGACAATGTGAAATACACATTTGAGATATGCTTAATCTGGATGCCACTCAACATTTTGGGGTGTTGTCGGTTGAATTGGTTTTGCAAGAGAGTGGGGGTGAAAATAAAACTGGGACTGCTCGTCACATTTTACTTAGAATATCCTCCAAGCCCAAAAGAAAGACCTAGATCAAATTGCAGTCTAGGTAGTGTAAAACTAAGAGATGAATGCCCAGACACAGAGTTAGCCGTTCGGGTGCAGGCAACCTCTGCCTATTTCTGATTAGTGCAACAAGTGTTCCCAGGCTTATGTCTGAAACCTGCTGAAGTTCCACACTCCACATTACAGGCTGGCTACCTGTGTGTCTAAATGTATTTCCCCGCCTCTCCCTAAAAAAACATGACAAATTGCAAATGTTTTAATATTTTTCTGTGTGTTTCAGCTGTCCAACTCTCTGTTTGAAGACCTGGCAATGGATGTGTATGACGAAGTAGATCGAAGAGAAATAGAAGCAAGTGAGTAGGCCTATCTGAAATAGTTATATGTAAAGAATGGTTTTTTTTAAGGAAAGGCTTTAGGCCAGGATTTTAAATTGTAGAAGAAGTAGGATAGCAGCTAGCTTACCTTGAAAGTGTAGGTAGGCCATAAAACATGTAGAAAATACACTGTGCTCATAATATTTCGTCCCCTGAGGGACTTTGTCAAGTGTAGAATAACACACTTGACAAAGTCCCTCAGGGGACGGAATATTTTGTGCACAGTATATTTTCTACATGTTTTATGGCCTACCTACACGTTCAAGGTAAGCTAGCTGCTATCCTACTTTTTCTACAATTCAAAATGTAAAGAATGGTTTAGTGTTTGTTTAGTGATAGTGATCACTCTCTGCCTCATTTTGTTGTTTGCATGTATGTGTAGGTCTATATATTGAAAACTATGACAGCTATGTAAATAGAAATATTTTACTTGATAAAAGCTTAGACTTCCAAACTGCAGTTGTCCTGTGGGTACAATAAGTTAAAGACATATGTTAGTGACCTATATTTAATATTGTCCTAAGTATTAGTGACCAATTCATTCTCCCGTACAGTCTGGCTATCCAACCCTACGTGTGCTGAACATAACTCCGTCCCGTTCCTACCTGTCAACCCAGAGCTGTCGACAATGCGCAACCAAGGTCGTCAGAAGCTGGCGAGGTTCAGTCAGCGAGAGTTCGCCTCTCTCGTCATCGACATACTGACTGATGCCAAGCGAAGACAGTCTCCGACAGGTAAGCTGCTAATTTTGCGCTTAAGTTGAATTGACATTGGAAAGAAAACAATAGTTAGGCCTAATAGAAACACACTCTTTAAATTGTGGTTTTCACAAACAAGTAAACATTTCTTTTTTAGTAATTGAGTTGATTTTTAGTGTAATCGGATTAACGGATTTTAGACTTGAGTTGGTTAAAGAAGCTAGAAGTGAAGATATACAATTCTCAGATGGATTATATTGTTGTTGTGTATTCATAGTGGTTGGGGAACGTCTTATTACGTTACATATACTAGTATTAATGGTTAATTTGATTTACTCAATTTTGGGGCTTAAAGAAGTGAGATGTGTTTTCTATTCCACAGACAGACTGAGCTTGTTGAGGAACCTCACCAAAGACGTCTCTGATGACGAGCCTCTCTACGACAGTGTCGCGTCTGATGAGGACTACGCTTCAGCTGAACAGATCGCTGCACTGGTTCGTAACTTTTATACTTCAAATAGAGATTTTAATCGTCACAAATTTACCGTTACTACGTAACAGAAGAAAAAACATGTAGGCCTACAATATGTTATAAGGTTCTAAAACTTTTCTTCTAATGATAGTCATATGCCCAATAAGCTCTGAAAGGGGATTAAGTTAAGCTAGCTTACCTAGAAAAAAAATTAATAGGCTAATAGATACATTATAAAAGGTCAATGAGCTTAGCTAGTGTCTACACTCTACAGTTTACAAAACTTGATTGTGGTGCAGGTTGCTGCTAACCTCAAAGGTCCAGAGAAGGCAGAACCAGTAAACTCTGCTCCGCCCCCAGCACCTGCTGCGGAGGTCAAAACTCCCTCTGCTGCGGAGGAGGAACTACGCAGCAGACTGACAGCGTCTCAGCTGCGGATTGTCCAGTTGGCCGCGGAGGTGCAACGACTCAATCTCAAGGTTAGCTTTTTATTATTTATATAACTTATATTATATATTATATAACTTTATAATTTATATTAATGTTATTTTTTGTTTGATTGTGCTTTGTAATTAAAACTCCAATCATCCCGATTGCCAACTATCCGGATCATGCAGGGTGTCCACAGAACAGGGATTGTGGGAATTTTACAGGAAGTTTTGGCATCGTGAATTGTACAAAAATTGTTACTTTTCATGTTTTTTTTTTTTTAAATCATGACCATACGAATGTAGGTATTTTAAGCCAAGTATGAATGGACATGAGTAGCGTGATCTTGTAGTCTTGTTACTTAGGCTGGCATGTTCCTTAGACACAACTGTTCATTAATAGCCCATACAGCCAATGGCAACTAAGGGACCTACAGTTTATAGTGGAATCCAAACTATATTCTCGCTTTTAGCGAATTTCCCTATAGGGAAGTAGCTATTACCGTAGGTCTCATGGTAAGACTTAGGCCCGGGACCGATTTACTTTTTCATTTTAATGTCCCTAGGGGCCAAAAACACCATTTGTTCAAATTTATATATATGTATATATATATATATATATGTATATATATATATATATATATATGTATATATATATAGATATATATATATATATAGATTTATATATATATATATGTGTCCGTGAACACGATAACTTGAGTAATTTTTATCCGATTTTGATGAAATTTGGTTTGAAGGTGTAAGGCAGAATAAACTTGAATGAGTTCGCGATCCAGCATGATCGGACCATGGGAACAGGGTTTTATGGGGGGTTTTATGGGGTAAAAATTGGTTTTTCTCACTTTTTACCCTCAAAACACAAAATTTCCCATTTTTTCTCTAAACCTTCTTAAAGAGCTTAAAAAAACAAACAATTCAGTATATCAAAGTGTTTTTGTACGGTTATTGGTTACGGAGAAAACTAAAAAAATGGTAAATTTAAAATTCCCATGTTATTCTTATGGAGAATATTGTAAAATGTTGTAGTTTGCTTGTTTATGGATATATTTTGATCAAACTTGGCAAATTTATTTATTTTATAGTAAGCTATCAATATTTTACTAAAAACACACTCCTTTATTAGTTTCCTTGTAGCAGCAAACCTAGGTACTCGTTAAACCTAATGTTATTTAAATAGATCAATTGAAAATCAATTCGGCCAAATGGAAATTCGCTTAGACGGCAGGTTTGCTGCGGCGGGGGTATTTAATTAACAAATTGGTCCAATTATCAGGATAGTAATGCGAATAGTTGTAGTACTCACTAGTGTGGACGTTAATCCGCTGCGTAAAACAGTAGCCAGGGTTGGTACGGTCAGGGAAAACCTGGAAAAGTCAGGGAATTTTGGAAAAAATCTGGATTTTCTCTTGAAAGACAACATTTTTTACAGATATACTACATTTTGCATCTATGTCTCAATACTTGGTCAAAAACATCAAAGTTTGACGAAAACATCAATGTAACAAAAACGTCGGGAATCTACCATCGATATAAAAACATCGAACATCGACAGACATTCTATCATCACCCTCTGATTACTGGCTTTAATTGAACACACCGAGCTCCCAGTGTTTCTACAAGACCAAAAGAATATAATCCCGGTCACTGGGTTAAGAAATCCCGTTTAATTCTGAGTGTTAAATTAGACATATCGTGTTTAAATAGTTGTTTTAACATAGCTATTATATTTTGTTAAGGTAATTTTTTCAATTGGGGTTAGTTTTTCACTAAAATAAAGCATAGTAAATAAAAACGGACGTCATAGCCAAAACTCCTGTTTTATTCCACAACAGCCCCTTCAAATCCCGCTCATGCTCTAAAAATCCTGTTTTCGGGATAATAATCACACGTATGGAAACACTGCTAGTACTGCGATGCGCGGAAGGATAGGCCTACATTCATCGTTTCAATTTCAATATGATACTGAATACAATTCCTCATTGAATTTATACCAATACTGATTCAACCTTTAATAAACTAAAAAAACTGCACTTGTAGGAGTTAATGAAATAGCCTAGTAATAAAAGCCAATAATACAAGATTGGGTCTTGTGGGCAAAGTGGCACTTTGCTGCACACAAGAGCAATGTTTACGCGGAATGATCTTGAGTGCAGCAAAGGCCTTTTGCACTTGTGTTACACATTATATTTTTCCTACAGTCACTATAAAGCATATAAATAATTAGTCTTTCAAACACTATACAACACGTTTTTAGGTTCAGCTGGCAACACAAATAGGTGCCCTAGAGAAAGTAGTACCCGGTCCGTATCACTCCACTATTTTTCCTCGGCAAGAAATGTGCTCCGCGTTTTGAGAATATAGTTCCGTATGTTTTTGTAATTTGAAGTGGTTTCCGCACCAAAAAAAAATGCTTTAAAGGTATTTTCTTGTTTATTAAGATCGTAGGAATGTTTTAAAAACGTTTAAAAGAAAAGTCCAGAAAGTTTAGAAATACCGAAACTATAAACACGAAATGACAGGTTAAATCGTAGTTATAATAGTCAATCAGCTGCTCATAGTATTATTATCTTTAAGTGTTGCCAACCTATTTCCAAGCGTACACGGATTACGTGCATAATAGAACCACACTGTTTTGTGTTGTTTCGTTGGAATCCTGATGTGCGGCAAAGTATAAACTGTACGACAAAGTATAAACTGTACGGCAAAGTATAAATATGCAGCAATTAGCAGCTTTCTGTAAACAGTACAAGGAAGCCAACTTTGTCGGGTGACTGTAGGAAAAAATATTTATCCTGTTAGTTGAAACATTTAATAGTTTAGTTTGGTACTACTTTTTGTCTCCGGTACAAGCATGGTAGTTATTTTTCCAATATCACATGTTTCTTCCGATATAAACCGATGATATCGCAAGCAAAATATCGATATATATCAGTATCAGAAGCACCATATCGTCTATCTGCCAGTGTCAAGTCAAGGCCAAGTAGAACATGAAGAGTGAGGTTAAGTTAGTTGGTACTCTTACTTTTCCAGATTCCAGATGTTTAATTCTTTTCTTATTGGTTTTATGAGTAAACTATTTAGGCCTAAATTTTTTCTAATAATTCTTGATTCTGACTATTCGATATCGTCTTACGGTATACCTTGAAAAAGTATAATATCAGTCTGGAAAACCTGGAAAAGTCAGGGAATTTCATTTTCCAAAATCAGTACCAACCTTGAGTAGCTCAATAGCTTGGGTTTGTCAAAATTCAATCAGCTAACTTGTACATTAAGCAAAAAACTCCCCCCCCCCTCAAACCACCCTAATTTTAGAACGTAATATATAACACAGCAAGTAGCTGTTTCTTTAGCTACTATTTATTAAAATCCCAATGATCAAGGACAACTGTGTACAGTTTTCTTGTGACCATTTGGTTGTCAGGCGTCACTGTACTCACTCACTACCCAGCTATGTTGTGTAGGTGGAGGAAATGACCAAAGAGAATCAGGAACTGAAGACCGCTGTCCAGCACAACAGTATGGCAGTGACCAGTGACCCGGAGACTGAGCCTGTCAGTCTGCCACAGCGACCGGTCAGCATGTACGAGACACGGGACTGTCTGCGGACACAGGTGAGATGTCTGATAATTGACTTTTAGATGGTGACAGATACCTTTTTTTGGGTGATGGTCTGGACCATGAGGTTTAGGGGGTTCTAGTAAATAGGAAGTTCCTGGGGTTCTCTTTTGAAAATTGTGTGACCAGCAGTATTAAAAAAACCAGCAGTAACAGACGCTTTCTGCAATCGGGTATATACTTTCGGCTCAACTCGCTCCAAGCTTGGCCCGATAATAATCTTAAGTTTCAGCCCGAACGAATCCGCAAGGCCAACTGTTAACCCGCTCACCTCTAAAATATCAAATTATTATCCAGGAGTCCTTATGTACAAGGATAGGGATCAGCTAGCTTACCTGGTAGATAGAGTCCAGATTAGCCTTGATTACACATAAAACACATGACACAACACAGAAAAACTTAATATTTCGTCCCAGTTAGGGACTTCATCAGAAGGGAGAAGAAAGAAAACTGGCAGTTACAGTTCAAATTCAAAAGTTCCACAATAGTGTTGCCAACTGTTGTTTAAAATTACTGTTGTTATATACACATATACTTCTATATATACATATGGTGGTTGATTTTTATAAAAATGAAGCTAGCTGAGGGAATGGTTGGGTGAATTATCTGATGTTAAGGTTAGGAGGGTTTCTGGAATCAGTTATGTATTGGTAGGCTAGTTCCCACCTTCTGAGTAGGGAGCTGTTACATTGGTCTTTGGGGAGGGATTTTATGGCTTTTGTGGTGAAACATGTATCAAAGACTAAGTTGTGGTTTGCTGCATGTATTGCAATGGGTTTGTATTTGTTTGTTTTAACATCCTGTCTATGTCCATTCATCCTTTTCCTAAGAGTTTGGGTGGTTAGGCCTATATATTGAGCTTGACAGAGTTTGCATTGTAGTTGGTAGATCAGGTTTTCGCTATTGCATGTTATGTGGTCTTTTATTTTGTACTCTTTGTTGTACGATGTGCTGGTGAAGGTTTCTGCAGGAATGTTGATGCCACAGGTCTTGCATTTGGTTTCATTGCATGGGTAGGAACCTGGGGGCAGTCTTGGAGGTGGTTCAACGGACGGGTCGGGTAACTTGGGATGGACAAGGATGGTTTTTAGATTGGCAGGTTGTCTGTAGACTATGGTGGGGGGTTTTTGGAAGAGAGCTTTGGTCTGGGTGGAGCTTCGAAGCATGTTGTAGCCGGTTTTCAAAAGGTTATTGAGCCTGTTGAGACCTGGGTGGTAAGTAGTCACAAGGTTGACATCGTAGGTGGTTTTGGTTTTCTTAGGTGGATTGTCAGTAGCATTTTGGGCCGCTTTTATTTGCGAAGAGACTGTTTGTGTCGGGTATCCTCTATTTTCAAAAGCAGTTTGGAGTTGTTTGTTGTAAGTTATCAGATTCTTCTTGTCGGAGTTTATTCGTTTCCCTCTTAAGGCAAGACTGTAGGGTAGGGAGCGTTTGGTGTTGTTGGGATGGCAGCTGTTGTAGTGTAGGTACTGTTGGTGGTTGGTGGGTTTGGTATAGACAGATGTGGAGATTGAGCCATTTTTCAGTTCCACCATGACGTCAAGAAAGTGAACCGCAGTTTCAGATAATTCCCAAGTGAATTTCAATGTTGAGAAAGTGTTTAGGCTATTTAAAAAATGGTTGAGGCTATTTTCTCCATGGGGCCAAATTACAAAGATGTCGTCTATGTATCTGAACCAACAAGTTGGTTGGAGACTGTCTCAGGATGCGGTTCTCCCACAGAAAGAATTTTGGCTTATGTGGACACCTATCTCCAGCCTATAGTACAAAATCTCCCATCATATATCAAAGACACAACAGACTTCCTTCTTAGACTTTCTTCAGTTAAAAACAAGCTCACACCTAACTCCATCCTAGCTACAATAGATGTTACATCCCTGTATACCAATATCCCCCACGCCCACGGACTTGCTGCAGTTGAACATTACCTTGACAAAAGAACTAAAGGTGAACTCCCTAAGACTTCCTTTATCATCAGCCTCACCAAATTCATCCTTGAAAAGAATAATTTTCAATTCCTGGACCGCCACTACTTGCAGATAAAAGGGACTGCCATGGGTACCAGGATGGCCCCCTCATACGCCAACTTGTTTATGGGAAAACTTGAAAATGACTTTCTGCAAAAACAGACTCTACAACCAACTTGTTGGTTCAGATACATAGACGACATCTTTGTAATTTGGCCCCATGGAGAAAATAGCCTCAACCATATTTTTAATAGCCTAAACACTTTCTCAACATTGAAATTCACTTGGGAATTATCTGAAACTGTGGTTCACTTTCTTGACGTCATGGTGGAACTGAAAAATGGCTCAATCTCCACATCTGTCTACACCAAACCCACCAACCACCAACAGTACCTACACTACAACAGCTGCCATCCCAACAACACCAAACGCTCCCTACCCTACAGTCTTGCCTTAAGAGGGAAACGAATAAACTCCGACAAGAAGAATCTGATAACTTACAACAAACAACTCCAAACTGCTTTTGAAAATAGAGGATACCCGACACAAACAGTCTCTTCGCAAATAAAAGCGGCCCAAAATGCTACTGACAATCCACCTAAGAAAACCAAAACCACCTACGATGTCAACCTTGTGACTACTTACCACCCAGGTCTCAACAGGCTCAATAACCTTTTGAGAACCGGCTACAACATGCTTCGAAGCTCCACCCAGACCAAAGATCTCTTCCAAAAACCCCCCACCATAGTCTACAGTCAACCTGCTAATCTAAAAACCATCCTTGTCCATCCCAAGTTACCCGACCCGTCCGTTGAACCACCTCCAAGACTGCCCCCAGGTTCCTACCCATGCAATGAAACCAAATGCAAGACCTGTGGCATCAACATTCCTGCAGAAACCTTCACCAGCACATCGTACAACAAAGAGTACAAAATAAAAGACCACATAACATGCAATAGCGAAAACCTGATCTACCAACTACAATGCAAACTCTGTCAAGCTCAATATATAGGCCTAACCACCCAAACTCTTAGGAAAAGGATGAATGGACATAGACAGGATGTTAAAACAAACAAATACAAACCCATTGCAATACATGCAGCAAACCACAACTTAGACTTTGATACATGTTTCACCACAAAAGCCATAAAATCCCTCCCCAAAGACCAATGTAACAGCTCCCTACTCAGAAGGTGGGAACTAGCCTACCAATACATAACTGATTCCAGAAACCCTCCTAACCTTAACATCAGATAATTCACCCAACCATTCCCTCAGCTAGCTTCATTTTTATAAAAATCAACCACCATATGTATATATAGAAGTATATGTGTATATAACAACAGTAATTTTAAACAACAGTTGGCAACACTATTGTGGAACTTTTGAATTTGAACTGTAACTGCCAGTTTTCTTTCTTCTCCCTTCTGATGAAGTCCCTAACTGGGACGAAATATTAAGTTTTTCTGTGTTGTGTCATGTGTTTTATGTGTAATCAAGGCTAATCTGGACTCTATCTACCAGGTAAGCTAGCTGATCCCTATCCTTGTACATAATAATCCTAATCAGCCAATTGGCCTTTCCTTAACTCCTATCCAGGAGTCCTGTCACCTCCCTGAAAATCTATAATGAAATCATATTATTTACAAAATATTATTTTGGCTTTTACAAATTTTGTGTATAAAAAAAACCCAAATAAACAACATAACTTGCTCGTTTTTGAACAACTTTTTCATGAAGCAAAACGTAGAATTAAAAACCTTAAAAAAAACAAATACAGATTACTTTTACTTTTATGATATAATTTGTTAGAGTTGAGTTGATTCTCGCCTCATTGGCGCGGGTGGTCAGCCAATCCCCAACTATTGTTGGGAGACCTGGAACCTTAATCTCTTACTTGCCTGCTGACGGCTGACAGGTCAGTAGATTTTTAACTTATAAGATACCATACTAACCTACAAAACTCAGTTTTCCCTAGTAAACATTTTTTTTCAAGGGGTGATAGCCCCTACCGATTCCCCTTAACCCTTCGCTGACGGGTGACGGATATATCCGCATAAGTCTTTGGTGATAAAGGACGGGTGGCATATATATCCACATATGATTTTTGATGCTCCGGACGGGAAGCGGTTATATCTGCCTTCTCTTCAGACATACTGGCAGAATATATGTCATGATTTCGCCCGTCTGGGAAGGGTTAAATCTGTCCCTGCTCTTAGATATTGAAGTACATGCATTTGTATGGATCAGCTGCAGCATAATTTGTATAAAAAATAAAATGCTAGAATGAGTCCCTCACAGAGTGTGTTACAGTGTGTCACATTTTCTACCTTAGTATGTGTTATTGAGACACCCTGTATATTAGACCTGTTTATATTTATCTGATAACAATACATGGTTCTGTGTGTTGACAGACTGCGCTGATGCCCCAGTCAGAGGAGGTTGTGCGCCGGACAGACCAGGTCACTAAGCGGCTACAGGAGCTGTGGTCCACCATGCAGTCCAAGCATGCACTGGTGCCTTGCGCCGAGCGGATCAGGGTGGCAGTGGCCGAGCTCACTGCCATCTTTCCTCAGGTACAACTTAACAGCTTTACATTGTTGTTGCTAAAACCTGAAAATCTTGCTTGTGGTTTTTCTTTTACATTTTACCGCCAGTGTTATCGGCAGAAACAAAACTAGCCTGCAGCAACATGAATCGAATCCCTATCCCGCACTATACTGTATATACCGTTACCGTCATTTTGTTACCTTGTGTTAACCAATTACAATATTTTACTGTAACAGAATTTTCATCCAAGGAAGGTTTGAGTGTGTGTTCCTTGTGCTCCGCTAACTCTTGTAAACCAGCCAAACAGTTTTGGTTTTGTGGTTACATTTTAAGTCATCAGCAACGGTTAATAAATAATTTGTTTGTATTTTTTACTCACAATTTTATCATAATGGTTCCAGAAGCAAGGGGACGAGATAGTGCGTTCCGCATTGCGTCAGTTAAACACGTCCACTGTGCGACTGCAAGCCGAGTGCGCAGGGTTGGAGAACAGCGCTGAACGTGTACGATCCTGCGCATACAACATGGCCAAAGCTACGAGACAGCTGCTTACTAGGTTCCAGTGAATGCCAGACATACGTTCAACTTCCTCCACATTTACGTATTGAGAAAATCAGTGTACTTCCTCACGTGTTCAAGTTTAAAAGCGTTTAAAAGATCTGTTGTAGGTATAAAGTGCTTTTGAGCACACAGAAGTTACATTAAGAGTTTTTAACATATTTAGGTTACTGATAAACAAAAATACTGGGCAAGTTATTCATTACTGACATAATACATCGAGAGTAACAGTTAATTTATTATTTGGTGACCTCAGAATTATACTTGTTTGATTATTTTTACATAAAATACCTAAATACTCTATACAAACAGAGTTCAAATAACCTTTTAAACTCCTCTTAACAACTATCATTGTGGGAGTGAAATTCCAAGATTTTTTTAAAATAAAGCTCGATAACAAAGCTTTTTTTGTTCACATTACATTGTACTGTTCACCTTGTGTTTACATTTAATCAAGATTCTCCCAGTATTTTTAAATTTTCTGTGTTCAATATACGTCCATAAATGTTGCTGCTCTAAATAACTTCATAAATGAAAGGTCAATTGAGGATTTTGTAATTTATACGTTTAACAATCCTAAATCCTCAGGCTTACCTTACTGGCAAAAGTAACAAAATAGATAAGAATACATGAATAAACACGTTAGACATCAAATTTTCAGAGCTACTTTAAGGTTCGGTTAAAGTTTTTACAGAAATAAAACTAACAAAAAATATGCATATTTTTCCCTTGCATATCAATAGTAAAAATACCTCCAATAAGACTAGTTTGTAATTGTTCAAAATAATGTTGAAGAAAAAATTTATCTTTTGGGTAAGATATTAGCGAATGAGTTTTTAAAAGATTATATGAAGAACCCTGAAGGATAAAAAACTACTGTGGGACTAAAAAAATAATGGGGTGGTTTGGGGTAAAATTCAAGTTGTTCACTTATGGAGAATATGCTAATAGTATCTATATTTTATTATATTGCCAATAGAATAGTATTTTATCGTAATCTACAATTAATTATATTTACCCTCATTGACTAATAAGTGTGCCTTATTTTACCACAATCCTCTTTGAATTTATCATTGGTTTTTCTTGATGAATGTACTTTTACTGTTGTATTAGTAGTGTTAAGTTTAATTTATTGACTGTTAATATATTTTGATGTTTTATGAAAATGTTGTACCATAATCCATCCTTGGCCTAATCTGTTAATGCGTTTATAGATGATGTGTGATGTGTTGCTAATATAACCTAATTTACACCTAATTTAGGAATATGTTCTTCCAATTTATTTTGAATATACAGTATATATTATTCAGGGCTGTGCGAATAGTTTGAAAAACGAATTGAATCCGAATCTTTGGAGATTCGATTCGGATTGAAGAACAAATCTACTGTTTCTAACTGTATTTGAATACGGAATCGATATTCAAATTTACCGGAAAGATATCCAGGTTCGGATTGGATATTCAAATTTACCGGATTTGGATTCAATATAATTTTCATCATCTGATTTTGATTCCAAATAGTGGGTCCAGTATTCGAAGATTAGAAACAAAAGCACTTAAGCACCAACTGACGGCTGACCCAGCAAAATGTATTTTCCTTCAGTATTGCCATTGGATTGTATATTGCCATAATAGTTTTGCATGCATATTATTATCGAGTAGTTAATCGACGATTTGACAATCGACTCTTATGTTAAAGTTGTTGAATTACACAGGTTTTCACTTCACTCGGTCAGTTTTAGTTATTCTGTCAGTTGGTTTTTGAACCAACAGAGACCGAAATGGTGTTTGGGTTTTCAAATAGGTAGGCCTAAATTATATAATTTTTTTTATTTTGCCCATTTCAAGGATATTTTCTTCTGGCACTTTTGAGGCAATTCCCTATTTCAGACCCAGAAAACGTGGTCTATAAATGGAAAAATTGGTAAAAACTGCTGACTTTCCTCGGATTTGTATTCAACTTGGAACTGGTTTTAAAATTTTGATTTGATAACAGCTGTAAATTTGAGATTTGGATTTGATCTGGGTTCGATAATGGCTGTAATATTGAGATTCGGATTCGATTAAACCTGTACAGCTATGATTCGGATACGGATTTGAACCAAAATTTCTGGATTCGCACAGCCCTGTATTGTTATTGGTGAAAAAAATAGATTGTACTGTGACCATAAAAGACTGACAAAAGTTATGGCCATGACATAAAAGTTTGGTTTCTTTTATATAGTCTGCATAAATTTGATTTTCTTTTAAGTTTTTGTGTTATATTAGCTTATAAGGCTTGAGAAGTTTATTTTATTCAATATTTGGAAATGTAATGCTTAGCAATGAATACAGAACCTTATAAGAAGAGAAACTGCCATATTAAAAGACGCGACGCTACGAAGATTTCCACCAGTAGTTCACGAAGAATTATGTAGGAAGCGCTAGCGTCGCCAGCCAAGACTTCAAGAACTACCGCTGGCGGACATCTTTGTAGCGTCACCTCTTTTAATATGGCAGTTTCGCTTCTTAAAAGGTTCTGTATTCATTGTGCTTGGTTACTTATCCATCATACTAGTTAGTGTTTAGGCTAGTGAGATATCCATATTAATCAAAAGTCTTTAATTTCTCTTTTCCTTATAAGAAGAGTTTATGTGTAATTTCATTTAGCAATTTCTATCCCTCAAAGTTTACCCAAAATGTTTTTTTTTTCAACCTTACTATTATTTTTTCAATTTTAGCAGCGTGATTTTTAATATCCTAACACCAAAGGAATCGATGTAGGCCTAGTTTATATCTAACTATAAATCTATTGTTACTATAGTATTAAATGTAATATTGCTTGTGCTGTGTATATCTAAAAGCTTGACTATATATTTTTTTGTGGATAAAAAAACATATAGAAGTCTTCCCGCTTGGTGCTTATATAATTTTATCATTGTTGTATATTTTTGCCTGAGAGCACAATTTTACATGCTGTTAGTTTGTACAGATTCATTAGATTGTAAATAATACAAACCGTTGTATTAATTTCATCCCTTAAAAATATTTTAATCCATTCATTCACCTTGAAATGTTCTCTTTATTTGTAAGAACTGTATTTGACCTTTTGTGCTCGGTTGGCCAGTCATTTTTACCTTGTCTTTGAAGTGAATTGTATTAAAATCAGCTGCCTCTGAGACTTACGGCCTATGCTACTGGCCGTTGATGTAAATCTAATTTTATTTATAATTATTTTAGTTTTAAAACTGCTCCCTAGGAATTAAAATCTTAAAAGATGTAGCACCAAACAACTTATTGTATAAAAAAACTTGTTTTACCATTGATGCGGGGCCTTCTTTAGCGTTTGAGTGTCTGATAGTTCTGGGCTTTCCTGACAAAAAAGAGTTAAAGATTATGTTGGTCCCAATCAATTTATATTTTTTCAAAAAGGATTTCAGCTCTCCGTAATTGTTGGAGGATATTTTAACCGGAATAATTAGTTTAAACGTTTTATTTAAATGTTTATTTTCCACTTAATTTATATCATCCAAGCTATTTTATGCTTTTGTTCAGGTCACATCTATTATATAAGGTAAAAATTATAACAATAAAGTTAAGTATAGTTCCCTACCCTGTGCCTATTATCGCTATACTAAAGAATTAACTTACTGTTATTGTATGCTATAATCAGACACTATAATTAATAATTAGATGCTAGGCTCCAATAGAAATATTTTGTACTGGCTCAAAATTAGAGAGGCTACAATAAATTACTACATGAAAGACATTTTATCAGTACAACGATTGCAATTCTAAATTATTTAAAAAATAATAGTTGTGTATTTTTAATAAAATAACTGTTATATTAACTATTTTAGGTAGGTAGTATTTAATAATGTATTATGTAGATACTTCCATTAAATTACCACATTTATTTTTCAAAAGACTGACCAGTATTGTATCTTGAAAAGTTTTGTTTGCGTTTTTGAAAAACTACAAGTAATTAATCTTTGTATATTTTTTCTTGTAACCAGATTTTGTTATAATTAATAAAAAAGGTAATATTTTGTTAATTGTGTGTTTTTTCTTACCATCATGCTCGCCAATCGTTAAATGTTTATGTTTAGTATATATTTTAATTAATTGTTTTTTGTTACAGCAAAAGTACAAAGATAGAAAGACAGGGGTTATCCGTTTCAGTAGAAAAGAATTATGAGCCTTATTTGATTTGCATCCATAGATATTCTACTATGGAGTAGAAGAGTACACTATAGGCCTACCATTTACATGTAAAAGTGTTGGCCAGTTGAATTTGAACGGATGGTGTTTTTGGTCTCTAGGGACCTCAAAACGTAAAAGTAAATCGGTACAGCCTCCTGTCACGGCCACCTTTAACTACAGGCAGCGGCCTGGTAGAATTGGCAACGCTGCAAGTGGGGTTGTTTAGTGACAGACGTCCCATAAGATAACATTGTCTAGCCTGACTGTAGCCATGCTATATACACATGACAATTTTGTCAATGCATTTTTGTAATGTCCAATGACAAATAAATATATTCTGATTCATTGCAGACAGGTGACATCAGCTCATTAATTCGCACTTTATTGATTTAATTTAAATTTATGAACATAAATTTGTTAAATATTGAAAACTAGCTGTAACCCGCAGAGTATGTTATCTGTGCCGCAGGCTTTGCCCCGTTTAAATTCTTAATTTTCAAGATGATCTCGTTCGCATGGCTCGATCACGTCCTGGTTTAAGTTCGTTCACTACGCTCACTCACCTTTAGGTTGGAGCTCGTTCGCTGCGCTCACTTGCATTCAGGTTAGCTCGTTCGCTACGCTAACTCGCCTCCAGGTTTTGGTTGCAAATAAAACATACAGAATTGAAAACCGAAACAATATGAATTAAAAATCTATATCTGTACATTTTAAGCGGAGTCAATATTGTCATAGTCCAGTAACCAATCTTTCGTAAATACACAAATACGATTAGCTGCTTCCAAACAAAAACAGCTGTTACAACTGGTTACAGCCATGGTGGAAGGAAAATGGTTACAACACCACTTGCGACGTTGCCACTTCGAAGGCCGCGGCCTGGATAAAGGCGGCCGTGCTACTGTACCAACTTTTAAAATCACAAACGGCTCCGGAGGTCACGGTGAAACTGTGAATACCTCCTGTGTTCGAGGAGTACCTTCTTATGCAATAACAATTAATTGGAAGTTTTTAAACAAATTATGAAAACAGAAGCACGCCCTTGTCACGTCATGTTAATACACCAACTTATGTTAAATATGTTAAAACTAAAACTTATCTTTAATTACCAACTTTTATAAAATGAGCTTTTAACAATTTTTGAATTTGAAAATATTGTAAACGATATTTTTAATACGTTATAAGATAACACTGATTAAATTAAATAAAATGTAGTAAATAACTTATCTACAACCTAATTGCCTAATATTACTGTTTATATAGTACTTTATAGTGTTTTATCTATTAGCCTACGTAAAATCAAGGATTCACAAAGACGGCAGGAAGTAGGCAGAAAAAACAAGTCACTTCTCTTTCGTCTTGTTAAGATGGCACCTAAACCGAAGCCGACGGATAAACCAGGTAATTTTGATATTTTTAATTAATATTTGCAGATAATGTGAAAATATACTATTTTAATAACCACCATTAATACTTTATACATTATCCAGCCCACAATTTTAGAATATTATTTCAGCAAGCTTTCGAAGATCGGACCTCGAGTTGACCACTTCACCACACGTGATGGTAACTCTTGTAACCATTCAGAAAGACAAATACCCTAGCTCTACGTTTAAACTTTTATTTTTTCGTTACCAAACGATTATTCCTTCCATATTATTCATTGAGAAATACACAAATCAGTGTTAAAATTTATCCAAAGTCCTCGTAGCTTATCTGTTGACAACTCATAACCTCACATCATCGTGACCACAAGTCCAAAAAGTGGTCTAGGCCTTCTTTGCATTTTTCTTGAATCCCTACCATCGAATTATAACTAAGTCTATGTTTATCAAAACTAAACTTAATTTAGGCCTAGGCTAATCAAGTTTTCTTCACTTGGTTAGGTTACTCTGGTAACTTAGACATAAGCTAACTTAGCCCAAGTCCGGTTGAATAACAGAATGGGCGCGTTCTGGGAACATGTACCGGTGCACCGGTGTAGATTAACCGATGGCAGATTATGTGAAAATATACTATTTTAATAACCACCATTAATACTTTATACAATATCCAGCCCACAATTTTAGAATATTATTTCAGCAAGCTTTCGAAGATCGGACCTCGAGTTGACCACTTCACCACACGTGATGGTAACTCTTGTAACCATTCAGAAAGACAAATACCCTAGCTCTACGTTTAAACTTTTATTTTTTCGTTACCAAACGATTATTCCTTCCATATTATTCATTGAGAAATATACAAATCAGTGTTAAAATTTATCCAAAGTCCTCGTAGCTTATCTGTTGACAACTCATAACCTCACATCATCGTGACCACAAGTCCAAAAAGTGGTCTAGGCCTTCTTTGCATTTTTCTTGAATCCCTACCATCGAATTATAACTAAGTCTATGTTTATCAAAACTAAACTTAATTTAGGCCTAGGCTAATCAAGTTTTCTTCACTTGGTTAGGTTACTCTGGTACCTAACTTAGACATAAGCTAACTTAGCCCAAGTCCGGTTGAATAACAGAATGGGCGCGTTCTGGGAACATGTACCGGTGCACCGGTGTAGATTAACCGATGGCAGCACTTTACTTTAGGTCCTACACTCATTCGAATGAAAATAACTTATCAATCGATATATCGACTGTTTGATAAGTTATATTGTTTGTTAGTTAGGTAAGGTTATAACTTAACCTAACTAACCAAACGATATATCAAATGAAACAATCGAATAATTGATATTTTCAGTCGAATGAGTGTGGGACCTAAAGTAAAGTGCAGTCTATCCGGTGACTTTCTCACCGGTACCGCCCCGGGGCAAGAGTCTTGGTATCCTAGAACGGTTAGTCACCGGTTTATGGTACACATCGGATTATAATTTACACGTCCACCTACTATTTGCTTTACTTAAATCAAACAAACAGACTTGCCCTCACGGAATAAATTATTTGAAAATTATTTGTTTATTATGTAAAATAAACTGTCATTGAACAAATTTATTCACTCATTACGTAATATAACCTATAAAACTGATAATTTACACATCCATCTGCCATTTGCCTTATAATATTTAAATCGAAGAAACAGACTCGCCCTCACGGAATAAATTAATTGAAAATTATTTGTATATTACGTAAAATAAACCGTCATTGAACAAATTATTCACTCATTACGTAAGTTAATATAACCTATAAAACTGATGAACATTATTCAATGGACCCGCCATCTTGCCGTAGCTGCATGCTGTTGTCTAAGAAACTCTGACCAATCAGAGGCCACCGGTGTAGCCTATTATGCACCGTACAATTTCTCCGGTGCATAAATCTTGCACCGGTGGAGGAAAAAGAGGAAATAGCTGTCTGCTAGGTTAACTCATCGGTCTCCCAGAACAACACATTTTTTGCACCTGTGCACCGGTACATGTTCGCAGAACGCGCTCATTTTATCTAAACAAAAAAAAAAAAAAATAATCCCGTTTGCTAGCCTGAAAAAAGTCCCGTATCCCACATGATTTTTTTATTCTTCTAAGTAGCCTATATATAGGCTACCTTAATTTGATGTAGGCTAGGTATCATGTTTTAACAGTTGTGACACATTGCTAACTTAACATATTCGCTGCTAAGGGTAGGTATGATTTCGTGTCACGCGTTCCGGGTCCCGCATGCTCATGGTCTGAAATCATACCATACACACCGTTTCAGATTCCGATACTAGTATGAACCAAGCGTTGGCTAGAAGAGGTTAGGACCTACATCGTAGTGTAGCGTTGCCCAAGTGTCCTAGTAATATTGCTGTTCCCGCCATTTGTGCGTCCCACGTTGCAGCCATTTTAGCAGAGTTTTAAGTTGGCGCTACAGTTTGCTCAAGACACAAAAGAGATGCAAAATCTTGCATGAAAAATGTGCAAGGTGTGCTACGCAAATGGCCACAAGTACACAAGAACCGAGTAAATTTGTGCTCAGTGCCCTGGGGAACCAGCTTTGTGTCAGACAGGCGGTAACGATGTTCCACGCACCATTTAAAGAAAAAATTGTCTAGGATGGGTCGAGAGTTGTAAAAAATTAACCTTTAACTTATACATGTACTTTTATTTTATTAACTCTTGTGTGTAGTATTATAAGATACTTGAAACTTTTCACAATAACAGTTCGTGAAGATTGCCTCGGTCTCTTTTGGCAACGCTGATGGCTTGAAATCGAGCCACATTTTTATTAGGGCCTACGTCTTATTTGGTACCATCTGATGCAGGGTATTTGTGCTGATACCATATTCCAACTTCATTTCGTGAAGTAAATGTTTCATAAGTTATGTACCTATTAATTTTCAGCACTGTTAAAAATATTTAATTTTTTTGTACTAGCGAATGTGTTAAGTATTAGGCTAGGCCATATTTTCCTACACCTAGGTACTTCAATCAATTAGGGATATTTTTCTCTAAAAATAACTTAAGTATAAAAATAAATAAAAACAGTCGTCAGAGCCTGGTCCCCTTCAAATCCTGTTTTAATATCCTGTTTCCCGGCTCAATCAACCGCTTAGCCTATAAAAAATCCTGTTTTCGGGATAATAACTTAACCCCGCTTATGAAAACACTGGCCCAGGGCCTCTTAAAATAGGCCTAGTTTGTGACACATCTTGCTTTTAAGATAGGCCCTAGCCTATTGAAATTTCAGGTTTTGAGCTGGTAGCCTATTTAGAGAACTGATAGGGGTTCATAATTATAATAGGTACGGTAATTAATAATTAATCAGCTAGAGTGTTTTAACTGAAGCGCAGTTAAACTAATTACTAGGGTATTTATTTCATATGAACGTAGGTAGGCTAACACTGTAATAAGTTAAACAATCTGTGGTTAATGTTTTGGATCAACACGTCACTTTCTTATAACGTTCTAAAAACGCTCTCAACTATTTTTTGACATAAACAAACTAAATCTTTAAGAATTTCTCTTCATCCTTTTGCTGCCAGCATTTAATCATTCGTATAATCTAGGTAGAAAAGCTGAGGCCATTTTGTACATAAACGCAACGCTTATAAAATGGCTAGGCTTATAGTCTTAACTTTTTTATTTTTGCAAATATTTTCATAAAACTGTTTTTTCTAGAATTGTATTAAAATTGTCTTTTTAAAAATATAATAATTAAAATATAAGGGTTTGAATGTTTTTTTATGTTACCAAATGATAGTAAAAAAAATTTAATAAATAGGTATTTAAAGTCTTTGAGTAGGGGCCTACAACCAAGATTATGGCTAACTATAACTATTCGGATCATTATTCCCCTTGAGTTAAAATAAACACATAAGCAAGCCTAACAGAGAGTGTTTTGGCCTCTGGGAGCCTCGAAATAAAAAGTACTGTAAATTGGTCCCAGGTCTACGTATTACCATGTTGTCTACGTTAATAGCTTATTCCTACTTTTTGGAAATTTGCTATAAACAAATGTTTTACTTTTGTGAAGAAGTTGATAATAAATTTTCAATGGAAATAATTATTTCTGCCCATCAGAAAACAGTTGATAGTGGTGCTGTTTCCTATATCCTTCCATAGTTTTCAATATTGTAGCCAGCTATTCAGTGTTAGTGCTTTCAAAGAAGCTTAGGCTACGTAACCTAATACGATAAAATAATTGTTCAGCAGGTGAGAAAAAGCCTGCAGGCGAGAAGAAGCCTGCAGGGGAGAAAAAGCCGGCAGAAAAGAAGCCAGCATCCGCTCCGGCTGCTGGAGCATCTACATCTGGAGCAGCGAAACCAGCTGCTGCTAAACCCAAGCCTGCAGCTGCTGGAACAGCCGGCAAACCTGGCTCTTCCAAGACTCCTGCTCCTGCTCCCAAGGCGGCCCAGGCGTCTGCCAAGGCTGCAGCCAAGTCCGCCAAGCCAGCCGCCTCAGGCGCTGCCAAGCCTGCAGCTGCTGGTAATTAAGAAATTAAATAATTTTTCTTTGTTTTTGATAAGCTTTTTATTTTCTTAAGGATAGGATATAACATTAAACATAGAATTTACTACAAAGTGTAAGATGGCAAGAAGGAATTGTTGTATAGTAGGGGCCACAAGAGTCTGCAGTTGGCGGGAGCCATAACCAAGACCGGGCCAACACGACGTTGCAACATCACCTGTTGAGTCGTTGACTACACTCGGGCGCCATTGCGTGCTGTGGCGACACTAATTAAAATGTACTACACAATATCTTCAAATCAGATGACGTATAAATGTTTACCGTGGAATCAAATTTGTCAAAGTAGATTAGCATTCATAGTATATTATTGAAATAACCAGAGCAAAGCTTGATAGTATGGTGCCTGTACCTAATTAAAAGATATTAATGTAAACATTTATTAATCAATTGATTTGGCAACAACGCTTGATCGTCATTTCCTCCTTTGAAGTCACGTGGTAAATAGGCTCCTCCCTCAACTGCAGACTCTCGTGACCTGTACAATAGTTTACTTATAACTGTCCTTTTATACTCTGTTACATTTAGGCCTACTGTCTTTAAATTGACTTTTTTTTATATAGGTCTACAGTAGTCCCAAGATTAAGTTATATTGTGAAGGCTACAGTGTTAAAGTAGTTTTCAACCCTAAAAAAATATTAACTTACTAAAAGAATAACGTTGAATTTTAAGCTGGTTTTTATCCTCGAAAACTTAATAACCTCTATGATTTGTTTTAAATATCCAATTTGACCTGTGAGAGTTTTTAAAGAATTTTTTGTAACAATCTATTAAGCTCACCAGGAGATATTGTTTCACCATCACCATGTAATTTTGTTTTGAATTAGGCAAAATCTTTGCACTGAAAGACGGGAACCTGATAGTTTCTTAAACCTCTTTAGAAATCCAATCCTGGATATCTTATGGTTTTGGGAAACTAAGGGAAGAGTTCCTGGCATAGGTGCAACAGTAATTTGGTATCTATGTTGCTTGTTTGCATTTGTAGACAAGTAGACAGAACCAATACATGCACTGAACAATAATAGGCTATATTTTAGTATGATTAAAATAGGTAAACAGGCAAATACATCTTCCGCTACAATTTCCAAATGGCAACATTTAAAAATGCTCAATTTGCTTTATAAAATAAAACAGGACAGAGTCGTTTTATTTGTTACTCCGATCGCATACAAATGTTAGTGTAGATATATAAATGCTCAGTTGTTTAACAAGAGGCTACAGTTTTCATGGTCTATAGACTCCCTCCAGTTAGCCACCTCTAAACCATAGCCTTGCAGGGCAGGGATATGCATAGATGATTTATATCATCAATAAACGTACACGTTTTAAGACAAACAGTTACATTTGCAAGGATCAAACTATCAATCCTAATCATTCATAATTTGTGTTTACTCTCAGGATTGTTGACACTAGGTCTACAAATTATAACAAATTAATTGATTTTCTACTTTTTAAACTAGAAGAAACACCTCTATAAACTACATTCAAAACAATTGTTAATTTCTAATTAAACTCTAGTTTATTGTTTTGGATTGGATATCTCATCAGTGTTTCGATAAAAAAAATAGAAAATTATAATCAATTTAATGTTGATGAGTTTTGAAATAAAAAAAAAAACTTGTTTTAAACATTAAAGTACGTCACAGCTACCATCAATGTTTGGAAAATATAGGTTATCGATGCTGATCCCAATTCCAGGGTACTGGAAAACTTTAAAACGAGAATGATCATAAATTTTAAGATTTAACCTTGAATATAGGACAATCACATTGTTCTGTATCTTAAGGACGGTCAGTATCGAAGGTATCAATTTGCGTGGGAATTTTTGTTGCATATTTTATCCAGATGTTTAGTTTTAGTAAGTTTGTAAATAGTATTTTTTATAATGATTTAGCCGTTTGGTAATACTATGAAGAAACTAAATAATTATTTTTAAAATGCCCATTCTTGCAAAACAACCCTAGAAAATTGTACTGTATTGGTAAATTAAAAAATTTGAAGCACTTAGTAGATCCAGGTCATTGATTGTTGGTGGCTCGGAGGGATAAAAGTGCAACAGCAACTTTGGGACCTTTGGAGTATATTTACATTTATAAATAAACTGTGGAGATCTCAGGACATTGAAATCTGGTCTTTTGTAGGGCCTATTTTAGGATAAAAATTTATTTAAGAATAAATTTCTTATAATTTTAAACTTAGTCAAATTTGAATTGTTTTTAAAAAGCAGAAAATTATTAGACTACCATGAGAAAACCTAAAACTGAGTCCCAAGTACCCGGAATTCTCAAATGATCCCATTGATACAATTTTAAGCAATATATTTGAATAGCCATAACTCGTCAATGAAGTGTTTCTGAACCAAAAATTGATTATGTGTAAGTTCTCATATGCAATATTTATCTAATTTTCAGCTTTAGAATTATGGCCTGAGAGGTTACATGCAGTTTAGAACCACCCTTTATATTGTTGTTAAAAGCTGAAAAAATTATTTTCCTTCAGCCAAGGGTGCCAAGCCTGCCGCAGCCAAGGCCGCTAAGCCTGCCGGTGCCGCTGCAGGGAAGCCTGCTGCCAAGAAAGCGCCAGCTGCCAAGGCTGGAGCTAAGCCTGCAGCCAAGCCAGCCGGTGCCAAGGCCGCTAAAGGCAGTGCCAAGCCTCTCCCTAAGAAGGCTGCGGGTGCCAAACCTGCTGCCAAGAAGGTTGAGAAGCCCAAGCGAGATGTTGCGCCAAAGAGCCAGAAGGGAGGCAAGGTCGTAAAGAAGCCTGTCGTTCCTGTCAAGAGGGCTCTGAAAGTTAAGACCAAGGTACGGCTTGTGCTTCTTGTGTTAAAATTTTAGTTGTTAAATCTTCTGAAACAGGTTTTTTACCAGTCACAGAATTTTTGTCATGGCCAGTTACAGATCGTTTTAGTTTTTTCATTCACCGAAGTTAGAAGCATTGATAGAGAAGTGATGTCTTTTAATCATTCACATCTGTGGCACACTGATAGAAGGAAATGTACAGTAACAGTTTTAAACAAGATGGAAATTATTGAAATTTGTGATCTTCATTTCTAGGATAATTGCATCACTATCCCCACTAAATTAGCAATGATTGAGGTTTTAGGTGTTTGACAATAATCAAAGCCAGGTGATGACTTATTTAAGAGAATCTCTCTGATATTACAATGAAGAGAGTTACAGTTCTGATGGCTTTAAGATTGTTTTGCTTTAATTCATCAAATGTATTATGCTTTCAAACTCTTTTCCTCATGAAAGTAGGCCTACAGTACACTAGAAACTACTTTTTCTCTCTCTTCTGAGTGATGGATGCATAAGATAGATTTCAAATATTCTTTCATGTTTGCATTTAAAATAACTGATTAGCCTAGGGTCTACAATTGTACTAAACAAGATTTGATTCCAAAGAAAAGATTTAAGGTATTTGTTTGGATAGCCTATATTTTTTTCTCCTGATCGGCTTAGTGTTGAATATATCGTAGGCCTATTCCTTCTTGCACTAAGCTTTTAAAAACTTGTTAGGCCTAGATCTTACTTGTAGTAGGCTAACTCAATTCAAATAAGAGGCTAGTATCTGCATTTGATTTTTCAAAAACCAAATGATGAAAGAGAATCTCTTTGATAATGAAGTGAAAATAAACTAATATCACTGATGGTTTTTGCATTATTTTATTTATATTGTATCTCGTATATTCTACTTCTACTAATACAAACACAGAATTACACATAAAGTGTACAGTATTCTCCAGTCAGTTTATTTGTCAAATCTTATTTCAGTCCGTTCTCTTATTTAAGGCCCAAGTTTTGAACTTTATAACATTCACCGTTTTACTTAAAGACTCACACATAAAATTTATATTATCTTTCTGAAGGCTTATATTTATGATTTGTTTTATTTTTAAGGCAGAGACAGTTTCATTGTACATAGGCACATGTTTAACTGTAATATCCCCGACCAATTTTAAGTTAAGTGAGCTCACCATTTGTAAGGCAGTGTCTCCTTTTCCATATGCATCCAAAAGCCAAATGATGTCTTATTATAGAGAATCTCTTTGATTTTGAATGAAAACAAAATGTAATACTCTGATGGCCTTTGGTATAATGGTATTTAATTTTGCTTTGGTCCTTCTTAAAACTATTTATTTTGTAGGGCCTACCTAGAATATGTTTAAAAGTTTAAACAAACAAGTGGGGGTGTGGTTGATCTCTTAGGATACTCATGACTTATTATTTAGCGTATTATTTGATGTAAATTTAATAACCAATACCAACTTGTGAACTTGGACCAGATTGCAAACTACTCAAAATATGATCACCCAAATATGCTTTGGGTTTAAAAAAATCGCCTTTTACTTCTAAGTTAACCGATGTAGACAATGGAATTGTAGTGGTAATTTACAACAAAATTGGTTATTTTTCCAGGTCATCAAGGGTACGTTTGGCAAGCGGGTAAGGAAGATCAGGACATCAGTTCACTTCAAGAGGCCTAAAACCTTCAAGCCTCCCAGGAACCCCAAGTACCCCAGGAAATCCGTACCAAGGAGAAACAGGTAAACAAGGGTTTTCATTTTTAAATCTTAACATTTTTCCTCTGTCTAAATATATCACAGGCAATTATAGCAATTACAGGCCTCGGCTCAACAAACACGTGAACTTTGCGAGTCTCCATTTATCTGATTAGATTTTCACTCATATATTCCCTTAAAACTTTTGGAATTATGTTCTATTTAAATAACATTAATTTTAATGAGTACTAAGGTTTGCTGCTATAGGGAATTTAACTGTGATTTTTATTGAAATGTTAATAGCCTGTGGTTTATAAAAGCAATTTTTCTTGTGAAAGTATATTAAAAGAATTTTAATTGGGAATCAAAAACTTAAAGTAAATGCTCAGTTGTTTTTAAAAGTTAACAAAAGACTACAGATTTCATGATTAATTAGACTCCCTAGTACTAGGTTTGCACACATCTAGACCTAACCCTTGTAGAGCATGGATGAGTATCGTTGGTAACTTAAATAAACGTCCACGTTTTAACCCTTCCCGAGCGTTGACCGTGTATGTATGCAACTCAATCTGAAGGTCACAAGTGAAGGACGTACATATATACATCAGAATATGTAAATCTAATTTAGGCATTTTAAAGTTGTTTCTTGGCCGGTCGTCGTAACTAGAATATAAGGATATTGAACAAAATAACAGTTTATTTTATTAGTTATCTTAAGCCATTAATCAATATTATTTTTGCGATAGTTTTTTTTATTTTTAGTGGTGGACTTCTGATTAGTGGGTTGGCATTACTGATCTCATAACATCTGTTGTTTACAAACCAGCCGGCTGATGTTTTTGCACTGACTCTACAGACCTGATAGTTTCTTAAACACCTTAGGACATCCAAGCTGCTGGATATCTTATGGTTTTGGGAAACTAAGGGAAGGTTTCAGGTATTCAGGTGCAACAGCAATTTGGTATCTGTAAAACTTGTTTACATTTTGTAGACAAGCAAAATGACCCAATACATTATTACACTGAACTATAGTCTACTTAATTAAAATAGACAAAAATACATTATTATCCCTTATAATTTTTAAATGGCAACATTAAAATTCTTAATTTTTATTTGTAAAATTTAAACAAAACGGAAGTCAAATTATCAGTATTTACTTAGATCACACACATGTTAGCTGGCTATAAAGAGATTCCTTTTAGAACCAAACTCGCACACCTCAAGACCAAACCCTTGTATTGCAGGAATGAGCATCGTTGATAACTTACATAAACTTACAGGTTTTAAGACAGACAGATTCACTCTAGGCAGTTATAGTCTGTGTTTAAATCATTCAGGATTGTTGACACTACAATCTAAAACTAGTAGGTAACTTACCTCTATAAAACGACAATTTGTGTATTTCCAACATTGTTTTGGATTTTATATTTTATCAACTGTCAATAGAAAATAAACAAAATAATCGATCAATTGTTGTCGAGTTTTGAAAACAATAGACCAAATAATAGGTTGTCCAAAACATTCAAGGATCGAAAACATTGGTCACATGGACGTTTATAAAATAATGGTTATCGATGCTGATCCCTATTCCAGGGTACACTCACTCAACCGGAAGACCTTAACAAAAAATACCTAAAACTTTGAAATAAATTATCATAAATTTACAAATTAACCTTAAAATAGCTATAGGATGATCTACCAGTTGTCACCATGCTCTAAATCTCGGGACCGTTAGTATTGTAGCTATCTAGTTGTGTGGGAATTTTTGCTGAATATCTTATGTAGAGCCTATTAACACACAGGTGTATCTATTTCTTAACATTAAAGTTGTTTATGTTTAGTGGTTTTCCATAAAACACCTTTTGTTTGAATTTATTTTCACTACCAAATAATTATTTTTAAAATGCCCCTTCTCCCAAAACAACCATATAAGATTGTATTAGTTCAAGAACTTAGAGCACTTAGTAGATCCAGGTCATCGATTGTTGGTGGCTCGGAGGGATAAAAGTGCAACAGCAACTTTGGGACCTTTGGAGTACATTTACTTTTGTAAATGAACTGTGGAGATCCCAAGACAATTATTAATCAACCTTAACTAATTTATTGTTTAGGATTATTATGTACAAGGATAGGGATCAGCTAGCTTACCTGGTAGATAGAGTTTTCTTTCTTCTACCTTCTGATGAAGTCCCTAATTGGGACGAAATATTAATTTTTTCTGCGTTGTGCCATTTGTTTTATGTGTAGGCCTAATCAAGGCTAATCTGGACTCTATCTACCAGGTAATCTAGCTGATCCCTATCCTTGTACATAATCCTAATCAGTCAATTGGCCTTTTCTTAATTCCTAATTTATTGTTTAGTAACATTTTTGTTGTCACTCTTTAACTTTTTGGCAGATTTAAATTAGGCCTATTTAGTTTCACCTGTAGGTCTATAAATCTTTGAGGGGAAGATCAAAAGAGCAGATTATTACCAACCTTTTGAATTTTACACAGGCTCATTCGTAACCTAACAGTGTAACTGTACAGTTATTACTGACGGATAGTGTGGTCTACTGCAGTATTACCATGACTGAAACATACTTCATTAGTAGTATTGTCCACCATATGGATCAGCTGAAGATAATTTTGATGTTACAGTCAAACCTCCTTAGAGCGAACCTCGTTAAATGAATTCCTCGATAAGAAAATGTTTTCTAAATCCACTTGAAACTTTCATAAAGGTCAAATGCTAAAAACACCTCTGTACAACGTAGTAATTAGGTTAAAAACCTCCATAAGACTAATTTGTTTATGACAATGGGCTAGGACTGATTAACAACCATAGTACGTAGTTTTCAAATCAAACAGAAGCTTGTCTCAACATGAACCCCCCACCCATCCCTCTTCCTTCCTCAGTCATTGTTAGGTACGTGCCTGAGAAGTTCCAAAACCTCTATCAGACGAATAACTGCAGTGTTAAACCTTGATAAAACAAACCTCTTTATTGAAAATACCTTGATAGTACCAATTTTCCACCTTGATATTACCAATTTTTCCCTACCCTTTGAAATTTGCCTTTTAGAGGTTTAACTGTGTTTCTGTCCTGTGCCTTTAGGGGTTGTTTTTGTTTCTTGTAATTTCAGTTATTTAAATTCTAACTTAACCAAAATAAAACAGGATAATTATAAGCAATGGCTTGTCCTCTGTTTTGATAACCAAAAAGTAAAGCACAAATCACATTAATAACCTTAAAATAAGAGAATCTAAATGTTGTAGGCACTAGCGCTCAGTGTCACTAACATAAACTAGACACAACAAACCTGCTCCAGATTTTACAATGAGATGAGAAGCCTACTTGTGTTAGTCTGTAGTATTGCTGTCAATCAATCAGAACGAATGCACTACATTCCTACTCCTGTTTACTTGACTTTGTTTACATGGAAAACTAGTGCTACATTAAATTGGTACCTGAATTAGGTTGTCATCACATTGTTGACAACCAGAGCGGACCAATACAATGTTTATTTTTGTCCATGCAATCAGATTACATCGTGTCTAGCCGACTATCAGCATAACTATTTATTTTAAATCGCCTGTGTAATCTAAGAGTTTTGATCATTTCCCGATTTTTAAGTCTCGTGAAGAAATCTGACCTAAAACAAGTTAGCTAGATACCTACTTAGCATTTTATATTAACTGCTGTTTTAACATCATATAGCAATAGGTGTCCTAATGAAAACATTATTTTATCCTGGCTTTATTTTGAAATGCACTCAATTTTACCCATATTTGCTTGATTTTCTCACCTATATAAAAATGAGTGCTACAGTAAATTGGTACCTACTCAAGGTGTTATTGCATTGATAATACCCGAATGGACCAATACATTTAAATTATCCCCAAGTAGGACAGTTTTAAAAGTTTTTGAACTTTTGTGTGTTTGATTGCATTACAAATATTGTATTAAAACTAGGCCTACTTGTTTTTCTTAACATGGATTTAGATAGCTGTCCGAAACAATTAAATTTGAGCAAGAATGGCAATCCAATCGGCATCTAAGTATCCTTCCCCTTCATCGTCTGATATTTTTAATTTGTTTAAAGAAAGTGTTTTGAGACAAAGTTTAGGCAAGGAGGTATTACTACATTATATTTGGGATTATTCTTAACTGAAAACTGAAGCATTTTTACTTTCTGTAATAGTTTCTAGCAGGTCTAGTAGTTTGAGCTCAAAATAACTGTCATTGATTTTGGACACTGCTAGTAGTTTATTACAAGTGAAAGTGCAACCCTCTATCCTAGAGACATAATGTATTGACATTTCTGCTAACAGAAAATGGGTTTTAGCTGTGTTTTAATACCATGAGTTAATGGTCTTGACACAAATTTTGGTTTTAGGTACAGTAGACCCCCTCTTTTCCAGACACATTTTAACCGGGCATCTGTTTAACTGGACTACACTCAGCAGAAGTGACATCTCTTTAACCGTATAATTTTTCTATCACATTGGTTTAACCGAACTAGATCGGCATTAAGTGGGCAGTAGCGAAACAACCTTTCTCATGCAAAAGATTGTATACCAGTGACATGCAAAAGATTGTATACCAGTGATCACATGTCTAAATACAATGTTCTTCCAGATTTAAGTCAAATATTTGGGTTAGTTTTCGAGTTACTAATAAATTATACATTAGACGTTCCTAATTTAACGAGTTTTAGGGGACGTCTGTTTTACCGGAAATACAGTTTCCAGACTGGCCTTGGTCCCGAGTAGTTCGAATATCAGAGAGTCTACTATATACCTATTTCAAAAACCCCAAGGAGTTTCTAAGGCGAGCTGAATTTTCTCTATTTAATAATTCATTCTATACAATTTTAAAACAGGCCTAAGTTTTTGTTTTTATTGCTTCCAGGATGGATGCCTACAACATCATCAAGTTCCCCCTGACCACTGAAGCCGCCATGAAGAAGATTGAAGACAACAACACTCTGGTGTTCATCGTACATCTGGGGGCCAACAAACACCACATCAGGACAGCTGTTAAGAAGCTGTACGACATTGACGTTGCCAAAGTCAACACTCTTATCAGGTAAGATCTCAATAGGCTTTTTTGTAGGGATGGGTTGGTTTTATTGGTTGTTGTACAATAACTTCACTGCAATTGTGAGGTAAGTTGGAGATTTTGCTTCAAAGAGAAGCTCTATGGATTTTTTCATATTTTTATTGTATAAAGGATTACTGTATATTGTCAATAAGGTATTAGTGAAAGTATTACCTGCAATAATTCCTGAAACAATATATACCTAACATTACCAACAATAAAAGAAAATGAGGGGACAATAGCAGCAATTGCTGCTTTTTAGTTATGTATACAAATTTACATGAACACACTTTGGTATTCCCCCAACACAATACATTTGAACACCATTTTAACCTACATAAAAACAGCACACTAAAATAATTAACAAACAAATATGCAATGTTTACATCAGCTGGTATATTTACTATTTATAGAAACACTATAGCAGTACTTCCATTAGAAAATGACTGGATCTTTGACTGCCTGGGGGGCAGAGCAGGGGTAATTTTTGACACTTCTGATATTTTTCTCACCGTCCTTGGACCTTGAGCTTTAAAATGAATCCTCGACAGCCATGCTACCTTTTTCCTAGCTTGAGATATTTTGTGGGGCCGCTTCGCTTAAGAATTTAATATAAAAAAGAAAGGTCATTGGTGTTGGTAATTGTGTTGGTGTATTTTGAAAATTCCATAGCCAAGTGGCCTGGAATAAAGAAATTTCCAAAAACCTCGGCTCTGTCTTACATAACCTATGAATGTTAACTACTTTTACCTAACCCGCCATGTTAAACTTCCCTATCCCAAGCGTGATGTATACAACTTCTTTACTTCACGAGTGCTGTAAAGTTGAAAAAACTCACTCGGTGAGGTAACAAAACACATTTAAATAACATTGAGTGCATAACTTAAAAAATATACCTCTATGGAGCCAACGACGTTCAACGCTAGAAATCAGCTGTGAGCTTGAATTTTATTGTTATGCGTTAAAGAATTTTTCTAACCTAGCTTTTATTTGTAAATGAACGTTACTGTTAGAAGATGGGTGAAATGGATGATGAAAAATATTGTTCGTAACTTGCTGTATATTGTTTGGTCGTTTCTGGGTTGTGGGAGTTGAGCAATCTGACTGCTTGTAGGGAAATCATTCACTAAATGACTCAATATTTAAGCTCAGTCCCATTGGCTCTGTTTGGCTGATCCCATGTACCTATCCGCAATGGAATTTACAAAATTTGTATATTGCGATTTTCTGTTTTTATTAATGAATTTGTAAAAGGTTAAGAATTTAAGAATAATAAAATTGTTTGGCAGATCATTTCTTTATGAGAGAAGCAGTGTTGCTTTTTCACCAATAGCAAAAAAGTAGGCCTATAGTACAAGTTTAAGATGGACTGGGCCAAATTAAATTACTGTCATGATATTATTATCAAATTCTTCCTTGTCAATCACTTTCCAATGGTATTTACTATTAATTAACACTCTCATTCCATAGCATAAGATTTTTTATTTGGTGTGGGTCAAGAATGGATTAAAAAATTAATGCACCTTTTTTTAACCAAAAATGAATTTATTTCATTTTTGTTTTTTTGGGTGCTACATCAAATTGGTACCTAGTCAAAGTATTTGCTTTTTGCAAATGTCTCAGTTGGACCAATACAATCGTAATAAATAAATTTCCATGATAGGATAGCTAAATTTTAAATCTCATACTCATGCTACAAAGGGGAATTCTTGTTTACAGACATCTTCTAGATTTTTACTTAATGTGTGCTTTCACACCATTTCCAATTTTTACGTTTTTTATCAAGAAGACACTGGTCTTTGCAATCTAACATTGACATTTCGGTAGATAGCATCATTGATAGGTAAACCCCAATGACAAATAGCATCTCTATGGAATAGACTTTGCTTAAGAGCTAATTAGATTTGAAAGTAGTCAGTAGTCCAAAATTGTGTCTTATTTCAACTAATGTTAATCAAAGCTGACATGTTTCGTTGCACTGCAACATCGTTGGAGCTTTACATCAAAAAGTGTCAAATAATTTAAACATAGAAAACAACACGGGACACGGAACATTTAAACACGAAATAACACAATAGTGCTATCATGACACGGCTCACAATTGTAGGTAGGGTGCGGTTGTACGTTGTACATTATTTGAAATAAGACACAATTTTGGAGTACTGACGAAGGTAAGTCTATATTATCATTATTAGTAGTACAGGGGCTATCAGAATGAATAATCTTGAAGTCAGCTTGTTTATGAATATATTTTGATTAGCTTATGCAAATTAATTTGTTTCATAATAAGATTGTATATTTATTGAAAAACATACTTTATTACCACCCCTGTAGCAGCAAACATTTTTTATTAATTTATTAATTGTATTTATATACTCGTTAAACCAAATTTCTTTTTAATAGGATAGGAAATTAATTTGACAAGTCTAAAGACAAATCATGGCAAAAAGCAAATATGGTAAATCCACCAGAGAAACACTTAATAAAGACATTTAACATTTTTATTTATTTATTTAAATGGAAATTCTCTAGGCTGCAGGTTTGCTGTGGTGTGGGTTTTGTTTTTTCGGTGACTAAAACAAATTTGTACCTCCTTCCACAAAGTTTGCTTCTTGTAAGCACGTACTGTACTTTTTAATGTATAAAATTCTTTACTGTGATATTTAATTGTTTTTATCTTAAGATTAGAATGAAAAATTATTGCACTTTTTTAGGCAATAATTATTTTTATCATTTTTGTTTACATCTGGGTGCTATAACAAATTGGTACCTGCCTTGGAATGTTTGTTTTTGTGAACGTTAAAAAGGACCAATACATTTTGTAATAAACAAAGGTGAACTATTTGGTTATATTACTTTGCTCTCATATTATATTTTAGCATTCCCACTGTTAAAGATGACCAGGTCCAAATAAAATACTGTCATAATATTATTACTAAATTCTTCCGTGTCAGTCACTTCATTCCAACTATTTTTACCATTTATCTTTTTCCTTTCATAGAATAAGATATTTTATATTTGGTGTAGCTTGAGATTGGAATTAAAAATTACTGCACCAACATCCGAGGCCAAAAATGAATTTATTTCATTTTTGTGTATTTTGTGGTGCTACAACAAATTGGTACCTGCTCAGGGTGTTTGCTTTTGTAAACATACTTAAGAGGACCGATACATTATAAATAAAATTCCTTGATAGGCTAGTTCTTATAACAAAGCATAACAAATGCTAGAATGACAAATGGCATCTCTATACTGAATAGAACCCTCTGGGAACCAAAGATTTGAATGCGAGCACTTTTAACTACTCTGTGACCCTGACAATTACGATTTCTTTATCACTTCATCCTCTACTCTTATATAAGCAATGTTCGCTTGAATGTATACTTGTTGTAAGATCTTAAAAACAGCTTTGACAATTTCCTTCAAATGTAAATAATTTATTTATGGCCTAAAAACGTGATTGACGACAGCCACCACCTCAGAAAAATTTTACTTCGCTACTCATTCTAAATTAAACATTGGCTTTATAGGTTGCCAAGTAACTATGTTAATGTTTGTTGAACAAAATAACAAGAAAAAGAAGTAAACAAAAGACTTGTAACATATGTTTATAACAAGCCATCTGCAGTATACTAGCCAATTACAATTAATATACAGTACAAACCGAAAAACCTCACTTGTTACTGTTACAATGCTATTACCTTTGACTATACACAAAGAAAACTCGATATGGGGGAAAGTAGTTCCGATCAATTACTGATTGATTATTTTACTTGGTGCTCTCCTAACGATCGAGGTGAAGCCGAGGACGTTAAATGAGTGAGGGTTAAAAAGATACTTGTTGTGTTGATCAATTTTTTTGACATATTGTACCATCATTCGTACAACTTTTTAACAAAACTAAAATAGTTTTCATATAAAGATGACCTCTCAAAACTACTTCATACTTGTTTTCAATTTAATTTGCCAATGGAAACAAGCAGGTGTTAAGTAAGTGATTCAATTGTTTCGTCCATTACAATTGTGTTAGTGTACACTATCGATATGTTGAACTATTTACGATAAGGCAACAATTAACTACAATCAATTATAACAATCAAAATTTACTACTGAGTTGACAACAGCTGATTTGTACACCCTAGAGAGTAAAAATGCTACTTAAGACCCGCAACGGGCATGCATTGAAAACTGCTGTTTTTGCTGCAGTACGACAAAAAATAAATTAATGTGTTGTGAATTGCCAGGTTAAAATTTCCATCAAAATAAATTGAAATTCCACTAAAGCTTAAATTATAAAAGCCAAAATTGGTTGTAAATAAAATGTAAGTTTTCTTTATATTGCTCTTACAATCTAAATAAAATATACCGAGCCATGGAAGGGTCTACTGTTTCTATTATTTTAAAACCTCCAGAACTATTCTGTTATGTTGTGGATTTCATTTTAAGTTATGTTTGAGTGTGTTGATCTTGTTTAGGTGTTTTTTCAATTCTAATGTGTATGCTTTACTTTTTTATTTTAATTATGTTTTTATTATACAGGGTGTCCCGTAACTCTCTGGACATACGTATATAGCGTTATTCCTTAGGTCAAGACAAACACATTTCACCATAGGAACATGGGTCTGTGGTGTCTAGTTTACCGACTGTCGGTATTTATGTGTTTTTTACAAAAACATAGAAACTAGTTGTTTTCGTAATGTATGACCACCTTTTTCCATTTAAACAATGCTAAACAACGTAAAAGGAGTATTAGCATTGTTTAAATGGAGAAAAGTGGTCAGGCATTTGGAAAAGAAGACATTTCTCTGTTATTATTTATCCAATCTTAACAAATAAGGTATCATTGGAAACAACATAAAATTTACAAACTTTTTTGTCTCTTGCTTTTTTTTGTAAAGTTAACGGTTTTCGTGAAATTTGACATCAAATATTTTAAATGGCCGCCATTTTGAAAAGGTAATGATTTTTTAGTATAATTTCTAACGATAAAAGGTCCTAATAAGATAAACATTTTTGCAAAATATCAAAGCTGTATCTCAACCCGTTAAGGAGTTATTAATGTTTTTGTAAAAAACACATAAAGACCGACAGTTGGTAAACTAGACACCACAGACCCATGTTCCTATGGTGAAATGTGTTTGTCTTGACCTAAGGAATAACGCTATATACATATGTCCAGAGAGTTACGGGACACCCTGTATAACTCATATTACAGCTTTGTGTTTCCCAACACAATTAGATTAAGAAATGACATAACATTGATTTGTTTGTTGCAGGCCTGATGGTAAGAAGAAGGCGTATGTGAGGCTAGCACGAGACTACGACGCGCTAGACGTTGCCAACAAGATCGGTATCATATAAGCTGGGTTTTTTACTTATGTGACTGTTAATAAAAAAAAATGTAAAATCCAGTTGTGTTTCATTTCTAGTTTTTGTTTTGGTATTTCCTTTTTCTTTTTTGTTACTATTATTAGGTGCCTATTAAAAATAGTGATGGTCAAAACCAATAATTTTGACTCTCGAAACCAAACCCGAAACATTAGAAAATCGAATCTCAAAACTTAAAACGCGAAACCTGTTAACTAAGCTGGTTACAACGGTCAAGGCTACAAAAAATACAGGTAATAATAAAATGTTAATTATGCAATCAAAACTGAAAGAGATTGACTCCTGACCCGACATAATAATATAAATATGTGACTGATTATCTTAAAACCCAATACAAAATAATTATTTATAATCAAGCAACATTAAAATAAATTTGACATAAACGTGAATATTAGACTAATTAGAACATTTAGTGATCAACATTTCTTTGTGGAAATTTTGGTGACAATGATTGTCATGAAACCGAATTGTACCTCGTTTCAGTTTTAGTATGACTTTAATATGGCTTTTGAATCCAAGAAAAGGAACAGGAATAACAATTGACTAGTATGAAAAACAAACAAAGTTAGCTCTTCCTCTTAATGTCCTCCATGCTCAGCCACCCAAGAGAAGACTTGCCTTCGAAACTTTTGAAGAGATTCACCAAAGAAATCTAACTGTTGGGCAGGGTTTCCAGAGCGCAGCAGACGTGGAATTACACTGTGTTAGGCGTAGACAGTCTGATGTGAGTGCCTGGAGAAAGGTTGTAGAAGGCGGGTTCCAGCAGGTACGTAAAGGTCTATGCAACGTAGAAGTTCAGGGCAATTGATATAACCATTGACAATCTTGAATAGGAATATAAGGTCAAGGGCCAGTCGTCTAGATGACAGCGGAAGGATATGGTGCTGGTTTGCAATTTCTTGTATATCCACATCAGGATAACGGATGCCACTTCTAACAACCACCAAACGCAGGAAACGTCTCTGAACTTTATTTAAGTGGTCACAATGCCCAATCTGGTGTGGGGCCCACACAGTAGATCCATATTCAACGATGGGACAAACTAAAGTCACATAGAGGGTCTTCAATGTTGCAGGAGATAGGGCATTCCGTGATGCGCGAGCAATGAACCCCAATAGAGAGTTTACTTTAACACAAATCTTAAGTGATATGTACGCCTGGATCCAAGGATGGTGTCATATACAAACCCAAGTCCTTAACCACTGTCACTCTACACAGGATCAAGCCATTTAAAGAGTAATCAAAGTGCAGCAAAGTTTTAGATCTTCCAAATGACATTACTTGACACTTGTCAGCATTCAGTTGCATAGAGTTTCTATCACACCACTGTTCTATCTTAACCAGGTCTTCTTGAAGCTCTTGTTGATGGATTGAAATAATCTCCTTGAAGATTTTAACATCATCGGCGAATAGTAGAAAGTTGATCACTAGGGACCCCCCAATATCATTTATGAATAAACCGAAGAGAAGAGACCCTTGTGGCACACCTGATGTTACGCTCACAACATTCTTCGAGAGTGATGATGCAAATTTGACTTGAAGGGTTCTGCCACTTAGATAGCTTTGAAGCCACTGGAGAAGAGGACCACTAATTCCGTATGCCTTTAATTTAGCTATCAGATGGCTATGGCTGACCCTATCGAAAGCCTTTGCGAAGTCCAGATACAGGCAGTCAACTTGGTGGAATCGAGAGATGGAGGAAACAACACTCTCACTGAAGACACAAAGATTGGTAGTCGTTGATTTTCCAGGGCGAAAGCCAAGTTGCTGTGGAATGAAGACATTCTTGAATTTAAAGGATAATACGTCCAGGATCATGCTTTCAAAGACCTTAGCAATCACTGACTGATGGGGGGCAAACAGTAGTGCTCAACCATACTTATAGCCGATTGATATTCGCCAATGCACGGTAAACTACTGCGCGTTTTGTTTGAGTAACTGTATCTTTAATCTATTGTAGAGGCAATGTTGAGGCCAGGGACCTGGTCTCTTGTTTTGGTACGACATCATGTCGAATAATTTGTTCTGCTTGTCCGAAAAATTATGAGGTTCTTCAAAGGATATAGGCTATTGATTTTAAATTTATGTGACTTCGCATTGTGTTTAAATACCTCGGGATATCTGAGGTTGAAGCCGAGGGCGTTTCTTAGGCTATTTATGCTGAAAGAAAGTCAGGCAGAACACGGGTTTAAAATGTCTTAAAGTAAACAATTAATCCATATAAATTACTTAAACTTACAAAAGAGCCAAAATTAGAGTATATTTAAAGTACATGTGGTGATTGGGATTTAAATCATCACCATAAATGTATAGAACACCTTTGCAAGTCTACCATCTACAATACATTGACTGAATTAAAAACGCATAATTTTTTGTTTTAGAATAACATTCTTATATATCATGCTAAATGAAAAATTGATTTTAAAAGGGAATTTATTTTCTTCATGTTGGCTATACCATTCAGCTGGCGTGGAACTCTCTGTCTCGTCTCAGCTGTTTTTAAATTTTCGTCTGTATTTCCTGTTGCTTAGTGCTCTTCTTCTTCACTCCTTCAGTCTTCATCTGTGATGACAGGTCTTTTATCGTCGCGAGCGTTCTGCTGCTTGGACACGAGTCAAGTTTGTTTGTGTTAGATTGAAAGTTTGTTGTTTTGGTGAAAAGTTTGTCGCGCCGTGGAATGCGACACAATTTTTTTCTACGCTTTGAAGCCTAGTGAACTGAACGTGGAACCGGTGGTCGGTCCAATTAGTTTTACTTAGGCCTAGTTATTAGTTTTGGTTGTGACTTGTACAAATTTGGCACCAGAAGAAATTGCTGTAAATATCGCGCTGTTGTGTTAGCGACGTTCGTGTTTTGACTTAAGTTTTCATGTGGTGCGTGTTTTTATTGTAGTAATCGTGTTTATTGTTGTGAACAATTAATATAAAGACGAACATTACCATGGAGTGTTTATTCTTTTGGATTTTATCTGGTAAGTAGTCATAAAAACCCTCATTATAGCCTAGCCTACAATAAGTTAGGACTAACTTAGGTTCAAATTATGTCAAACTGACCATGTCTTTGGTTTAGGCCTACTATCCTATTAATCTAGTATGCCTAAATAGGTTTCTCTGGCTTACTTGTCTTTGGTTAAGTAACTTTGTAGTAGGCTACTGGGGTAGACTTCTGTATCTGTTAGCACAAACAACCGAATGAAAATATTGATCGATATATCGATTATTCGATATATCGTTTGCTTAGTTAGGTAAGGTTAACCCTAGGAGGATTAAACATTAAGGAGAGGGCACGCGAATAGGAATACACGTGTTGCGGTGAAGCCAGCTTTAGCAGAACACTAGAGGGGCACGCGGAGCCGTAGAGTGGCAAAAAGCCTCGGCTATAACATGGGAGAGATAGGGAAAAACGCGACGCGCGCTGTTTCGAATTAAAATTGCCGCTAAACTAAAACACCTGTGTTATTCACCGATGGCATTCTTAAAGTAAATTAAATTTCCTATCGAACAGTGTCAATCATTCCTATAAAAAATATTATTTATTATTTATTATTGAAGATCAAAGTTGAAAGAATTGACCTGGACTTTGAACATATGATTACTTTAATTACGTTTTTGAAAAAAATATGATGTATCTACACAAATTAACAATTTATTCGTGTTCCTTAAGAGTTTCTCGAAATAAAAAATATATATTTACCTATATTTAAAAGTGGTATTTAGAAAAATAATTACAATAAAGTTTTTTTAATTTTTTCCAGTTTATAAAACAATCTTACTAATAATAGGTTAAAATGAAAATTTTAATTCGGGTGATGAAATACATTTTAAATTTGCATTTTTCATAGTTTTCTCGATTTGTTAATAGAATTTTTTACTAGTTTTAAGTCATTTATGTGCTAGGCAGGTGATTTTAAATAGCCAAAGTTAAGAAAAAATGCAAAGCCGCTATAACTTTTTTTACACCAACAGCCGTTACAATTAAATTACAATCATAAAAAGTAAAACAATTTATTGGCAATCAAATTCTTGATTTTTTAAATATCATATTGAACTATATTTGATCTGTTTACCTAAAGAAACTTCGAGTAAAAAGTGTAAATGTTCAACAATCATCGCGTCTTCTGACCGCCAAAGTGCGTTTATCATTCTTTTAAAGGATTAAAACTTATTTGATTTCTCTTTAAGAAAATGTTCAAATACACATACAGTACTACTCATGATTTGAGTTTTAATTAATGAACAGTAAAATCCATTGGTGATATGGCGGGATTTGAACCCGGGACCCCATGAACCGGAGTCCCACGCTCCTGGTTAGAGTATTATAAATAATACACAATACAAGTATGGCAAAAAATAAAAACAAGGACAACGAATTCCAAAAAATAAGTCATCCTTGTGTAAATTAATTACTCACCTTTGAACGTACTATTGGTTCATAAATATGACTTTCCTCTTAATAGGTTCCTAATATTACGGTTAGAATTTAACTTTTTAATTTTCGTAGGATGATGAAGTCTAATTTTTAAATAGTTAATTGATATTTCTGTTACCAAATCTTCCAGTAACGCATACAACGCAGTATGAGAGGGGGGCGGGAGAGTAGCGCTGCCTCCCCCCCCCACCACAGTACGCTGGCTTCAACGAAACTACTGCGTGTCCTCTCCTTAATGTTTAATCCTCCTAGGGTTAACCTAACTTACCAAATTCATTCATCCAGATTCATTTTAATATGCCATCCTGCGAGTTCATACTTAAAAGTTTCAAGAATCAAGAGTTGGGTACAGTTTCTTAACTGGGCTATATGCTAAAATCGATTGAAACTATCTATTTATTTACCCATTCATACAGTAAACACCATTTTTACAAGCAATAATCCCTGAGTGGCATGGTAATAATACTATCGATTCGATTAGTAAACCTTCATGCGATTTTTTCACCATCAGCAAGTTTGGTTGGTTAGGTAAGGTTTGGTTAAGTTAAATTTTATAATAGATATATTTAAGAATATCGATTATTAATCAATATTGTGAATTCGATAGATTCAATGGATATTTAGCATAAGTTAGCCCAGTTAGGAAACTGTATACCCCAAGAGTTTATCGAATGTAAACTGGCATGTAAGAAGTTTTGCTGTAGTTTAGTATTGCAATAAAAGCCGCGATACCCGACCCAATCAGATTATTGAACAATAATCAGTAGACTTCCTCTTTCCTGGACTCCTCGGGAACGAGGCCAGTCCGGATAGCGGGTTTTCCGGTTTAAGAACACTTGCCTTCTTGCCAAGCTTGAATGTCATTGTATGCAATACACATTTTTGTATCTAGGTCTAGACCCAAGTTAAATTAAGTAAAACAATGATAGATAATACGCTGGACCTCCTTTTGAATATGAAAATCTTTCGAGCTTTGGCATTACAGTAGGCCTAGTCAAAAATGTTTGAATTATTTTGTCAATATTTTTTATGATTTATACTTTGTGTTGGTGTCTGACTTACAAAGTTATACTTATACATTTGGTAAACTTGTAGTTCCAGTAACTTATATCAATCTTAGAAGTTATCTAACACTGCACATAAATATTATTCAAGAACAAATCCCTATTGAAATAATACGGTATGGTTAAAAATTGGTATTTCATCATACTGCCTGGAAAACAGCCGTTATTAGTCTTTTTTAGTCTAAATCGTCAGCAAAATTATCGTTTTCGGGTAACTTCAAATAGAAACAGAAAATATATATACTTATGGTAAATATTTCGGTTCGCTAACCTCCAAATTTGTTAATTGCATTATGAAAATGCTGATAATCAGACGAAATTTAAAATTATAGGCCTATGTTTGTATGTTTAACAGAAATGTAGATTGAGGACGACTTTATATATAAAATCAAAGTATGTGTTCTAACTTTGTATCGATTGGATGTTTATTTCCACGGTATGATGAAAATAGTTGTTCATCACACGGAAAGAAAGTGTCTTATTGGTACTTAGGCCTAGGCTAATTCTATTTTTTTGAACACAATTGCGTACCAAAAAGAGCCAATTTCACTTCTAGTGATGAAAACTACTATTTTCCTATTTTTGGCCCTCAAAACATTAAATGTTGCAATCTTTCTAAGTACTTCATTATGTAGAGATCAACAAACAAATGAGTACCTATGCGTGTCAAAGGATTCAGAGAAATTTAGGAAATATAAATTTAAAACTCTGACGGAGAAATAAGTAGTTAGGCATTACTTAAAAAAGTTGTGGTTACGGAAAATAAAAAAATTAACTGTTTTAGTATTCTTGTTTATGGATATAAATTCTAATCAAATTAGATTAATTTATTGTTTCATTCCAAGCTATTACATTTTTGATTTATAACTTTAAGAATAAGCTCAGGAATTTTTTAAAGGTCTTTCCAAGTTTACTGATTCTTGTTGTCTTCTTGCCTTCTTGTTGTTGACATTGAGTGCATATTATGGACTGATTTATCTATTCTTGTCGTATATAGTGACAGTCTTGGGCTGTCAGTGAGTGTTCGAACAAGGTTTGTCTTCCGTCTTCAGAAAAAAACCTTTAAGAGCCGCCTTTCACCATCGAACTTCTTGGAATACAATAAACATTCTTACATTTCCATCCATATTCATTCTCAGTTGTCTGTCATTTTCAAAAATAAATTATTATCTTTTCAACCGCAATACCTTCCAATGCAATAGACTCTCAGGCACTGAAACAATATTCACCTACAGTAGAACCTCTTTAATCCGAACCCCTGTAATCCGAACGTCCACTAATCCGAACGCCTCATTGCTGTACTCTATACACAGTACAGTAGTTTTTTATTGTATGTATACTGTATTTATTGATATATGTACCGTAGTTATTTCAATTGTAATGCATAGTAGGCCTACTGTTTATTCCTTATGTTTACTACTGTATTAAATAAACACTGTATTTTACTTTATAAAGCATTTTTAACTTTTCTCTAACTTTGCTATGTAAAAACAACAATATGTTCTGTAATCCGAACTATTCAATAATCCGAACTACCCCCGGTCCCAATTAGTTCGGATTAAAGAGGTTCTACTGTACCTGAACACTGAACAAAATTCTTTGAAAGACATCGGTACGTGGTCAGGTCCTTTAACTTTCTGCCTGAACCCCTTAAAGTGGAGGAAGACACTGGGAGAGTAATGACATCTAAATGTAGAACGAACTCCCTACTATATCAATGAATTTTTAGTTTGCTGAACATTAACTTTTTTTGATACCGTATTGTTCTGTTGGGTTTTAGTATTTTTAGGGTTTAGATTTATCTGCAATCTTCTTTTTTATAAATCTTGTGACGCTATTTGTACAGGTTTTCTGTGCTAAATATAATGTTATTTAAATGTGGAATAAATCTTGCATGTAAGAAGATATTTTAGTGACAATATGACCAGGCAAATTGAAATTTGCTTAGTCTACAGCTTGGCTGCAGTGAGAATATTTGTCATAGACACATCGCTCCATTTTTTTTCGTGTCACATTCATGTCAAAAGTTGAAGGCTGTTAATTTATTTCCCCGCAGCTTATACGTACATATCTTTGTCGCTTGGTGAATGATCACCTAATGTCACCAAGGCTCAATCAGTTTATTCCATCATGCCTCCACTTGTTGTCAGGGCCGTCCGTAGATACGCAGTTTGTTTTCACACTTATCAGCTGTTCGACCTTTTGGAACTTACATTGATACCAAGGCACAAATTTCTTGTGTTTGAAAATTTGTTTTGAGATGTATAGATTTTGAAAGTGATTCAAAATTCTTTATTTAGAGTCAAATTTAGCGTTATTATTATATTTACTATGTATTTATAGTGCTACCTATGTAGCCTATTTATGTTATATAAATATGTAAGTTATACCTATTTAAAAAGAGTAAAGCAACAAAGTCGGAAAGGTTTTCATGTGTTAGGGCCTATTTGATTATTTTGAAAAATACTAGGCCTGTATA